TCGAAACTGATCAAAAAATGATCAAAATTTATCAATAATGGTCAAAAAATGACCAAAAATGATCAAAAAATGATCAAAACGAATCAAAAATGTTATAAAAATGATCAAAAATGACCAAAAATAATCGAAAATGATCAAAAATGATCCAAATTGATCAAAAAATGATCAAAGATGATCAAAAATGATCAAATAATGATCAAAATTGATCAAAAATGAACAAATTCATCAAAAATTATCAAAAGATGATCAAAAATGATCGAAAAATGACCAAAAATGATCAAAAATGATCAAAAAATGATCGAAAATGATCAAAACTGATTAAAAAATGATCAAAATTAATCAAAAATGATCGAAAATGATCAAAGATGATCAAAAATGATCAAAAAATGATCAAAACTGATCAAAAATGATCGAAAATGATCAAAGATGATCAAAAATGATCAAAAAATGATCAAAAATGATCAAAAAATGATCAAAAATGATCAACAATGATCAAAAAATGATCAAAAATGATCAAAAGATGATCAAGAATGATCAAAATATGATCAAAAATGATCGAAACTGATCAAAAATGATCGAAAATGATCAAAGATGATCAAAAATGATCAAAAAATGATCAAAACTGATCAAAAATGATCGAAAATGATCAAAGATGATCAAAAATGATCAAAAAATGATCAAAACTGATCAAAAATGATCGAAAATGATCAAAGATGATCAAAAATGATCAAAAAATGATCAAAAATGATCAAAAAATGATCAAAAATGGTCAAAAAATGATCAAAAAATTATCAAAAATGATCAAAAAATGATCGAAAATGATCGAAAAATTATCAAAAATGATCAAAAAATGATCGAAACTGATCAAAAAATGATCAAAATTTATCAATAATGGTCAAAAAATGACCAAAAATGATCAAAAAATGATCAAAACGAATCAAAAATGTTATAAAAATGATCAAAAATGACCAAAAATAATCGAAAATGATCAAAAATGATCCAAATTGATCAAAAAATGATCAAAGATGATCAAAAATGATCAAATAATGATCAAAATTGATCAAAAATGAACAAATTCATCAAAAATTATCAAAAGATGATCAAAAATGATCGAAAAATGACCAAAAATGATCAAAAATGATCAAAAAATGATCGAAAATGATCAAAAAATGATCAAAATTAATCAAAAATGATCGAAAATGATCAAGAATGATCAAAAGATGATCAAAAATGATCGAAAAATGACCAAAAATGATCAAAAATGATCAAAAAATGATCGAAAATGATCAAAAAATGATCAAAATTAATCAAAAATGATCGAAAATGATCAACAATGATCAAAAAATGATCAAAAATGATCAAAAATGATAAAAAGATGATCAAAAGATGATCAAGAATGATCAAAATATGATCAAAAATGATAAAAAGATGATCAAAAGATGATCAAGAATGATCAAAATATGATCAAAAATGATCAAAAATGATCGAAACTGATCAAAAATAATCGAAAATGATCAAATATGATCAAAAATGATCAAAAAATGATCAAAAATGATCAAAAAATGATCGAAAATGATCAAAGATGATCAAAAATGATCTAAAAATGATCAAAAATGATCAAAAAATGAATCGAAAATGATCAAAAATGATCCAAATTGATCAAAAAATGATCAAAGATGATCAAAAATGATCAAAAATGATCAAAACTGATTAAATAATGGTCAAAAATGATCAAGAATAATCAAAAAAATGATCAAAAATGACCAAAATTGATCAAAAATGATCAAAAATGTTCAGAAAATTATCAAAAATGATCAAAAAATGATCCAAAAATAATCGAAAATGATCTAAATATGACCAAAAATGATCAAAACTGATCAAATAATGATCAAAATTGATCAATAATGGTCAAAAATGATCAAAACTGATCAAAAACTGATCAAAAAATGATCAAAAATGATCAAAAAATTATCAAAAATTATCAAAAATGATCAAAATTGATCAAAAATTATCAAAAATGATCAAAAAATGATCAAAAATGATCAAAAAGAATCAAAAATGATCAAAAAATGATCAAAACTGATCAAAAAATGATCAAAAAATGATCAAAAATGATCAAAAAATGATCAAAAAATGATCAAAGATGATCAAAAATGATCAAAGATGATCAAAAATGATCAAAAATGATCAAAACTGATCAAAAATGATCAAGAATAATCAAAAAAATGATCAAAAATGACCAAAATTGATCAAAAATGATCAAAAAATGAATCGAAAATGATCAAAAATGATCCAAATTGATCAAAAAATGATCAAAGATGATCAAAAATGATCAAAAATGATCAAAACTGATTAAATAATGGTCAAAAATGATCAAGAATAATCAAAAAAATGATCAAAAATGACCAAAATTGATCAAAAATGATCAAAAATGTTCAGAAAATTATCAAAAATGATCAAAAAATGATCCAAAAATAATCGAAAATGATCAAAATATGACCAAAAATGATAATATGATCAAAAAATGATCAAAATTGATCAATAATGGTCAAAAATGATCAAAACTGATCAAAAAATGATCAAAAGATGATCAAAAATGATCAAAAAATTATCAAAAATGATCAAAAATTATCAAAAATGATCAAAAATGATCAAAAATTATCAAAAATGATCAAAAATGATCAAAAAGAATCAAAAATGATCAAAAAATGATCAAAACTGATCAAATAATGATCAAAATTGATCAATAATGGTCAAAAATGATCAAAACTGATCAAAAAATGATCATAAAATGATCAAAAATGATCAAAAATGATCAAAAAATGATCGAAAATGATCAAAGATGATCAAAAATGATCGAAAAATGACCAAAAGATGATCAAGAATGATCAAAAATGACCAAAAATGATCGAAACTGATCAAAAGATGATCAAGAATGATCAAAAATGACCAAAAATGATCGAAACTGATCAAAAAATGATCAAAAATGATCAAAAATGATCAAAAAATGATCAAAAAATGATCAAAAATGATCAAAAATGATCAAAAAATGGCCAAAAATGATAATATGTTAAAAAAATATTCAAAAATTGTCAAAAATGATCAAAAAATTATCAAAAATGATCAAAAAATGATCAAAAATGATTAAAATTGATCAAAACTGTTCAAAAAATGACCAAAAAATGATTAAAACTGATCAAAATTGATCAAAAATTATCAAAGGAGCCGTTCACGTTCGTATTTTAGGGGGAGGGGGGTTTGAAAAATTGTAACCAAATGTAACATGGGGGGGGGGGGGAAGGGGGTAGTCAAGAAGTTTATAACGTTCTAACTGTTAAAGGCTGGGCCCTTCACACATTATTATTATTATTAAGTACATCAAAAAGTTTTTTGTCCTAAAATTCAAATTTTATACCGGTTTAATACATTTGAAATTATTCCACAAAAATAAACTCTTGAATTTAACAGGATTTGTCACTAAACCATTTTCTTGGATTCAAAAGAATTTTTCATTCAGCAGTTTTTGAGATTCAAATTTTTCAACGGTAGAAATAAATTTGAATTTCTGAACATACCCTGAATAATTTTTTATCGCGGTAGAAAAAAATTCAAATTTTTGAACGTGCTCATCACTTGGTTTTATTTATGAAATAAAAAATCATTAATTATAGCATAAGTACATGGTTTGAAGACTTTTAAGTACTCGATGGGCCGATAAATCAATAGTAACGGAGAAAATAAAACAAACCCGAGCTTTCTACGATGTCTGGTTAAAAAGTTTTTCTGGAGACGAACGAACAAAGTGTATTATTAAGCTACCTTTTCGAAACAAGTTTCAAAAATGCGCTAAAAAGGGTCATTTGCCAAATTTCAGGTCATTTTGTGTTGTAGTCTTGGTACCGCTATGCTGCTAGCAAATGTATAAAAATTCAAGCAAAAATATCTTAAAACGTGCCGCAACTATCTTAGATTCCCGACTACCACCCTATAAGCCGTATACTAACATGTAGCTCTTGACTTCTGGTTTCCAAAATGTATTAACCATTGCTTGAATAGGTTGCAAAAAAAAGTTATCATGATTTTGACGCAAAAGTCAAAATTCTCTTATAAAATGGGAGGAGAGGGGGGGGGGGGGGTTATAAACATAATCATTTATTTTTTTTTATATTCACACCATTTTCACATGAAATTTTACATCATTTGCAAAAAACAGATTTCAAATTAGTTGGGGCATTGCTGAGAAAATCGCCAAATACGCTTTCTAAGCAAGCAAACAAGTAAAAAAGCAAGTTAATCAGCAAGAAATCTCAATAACGAGACATCGTAGAGACTTCTAGTTTTTTACATTTGATCTGTGCTGCTCTATAGAAGAGCTGTTTAGTTTTTGAGCAAGGTAGGAACAGCCGTTGCTTCAGAAAAAGCAAAAAACTTTCCTTTCTTACGAATTTTTCAAAACAAAAGTTTACTGTGATTTTTATAAAATTCAACTTTGGATGAAAAAATTTTTGAAAAACTTTTAAAGAATGTTCGTCAAGCTTTATACCTTCAAACTTATGCTGAGCAAATCTTGGTCTATTCATAAGTCTCTTAATGGTACGGTGTGAATATATCGGCATTGGGTTTCTATCCGATACACTAGTTTTAAATTAAAAAGTTCTGATGTCTTTCAAATGACCTTTAAATAACAAATAAATCATTACTTCAATTCAATTTTTAATTACTATCATTACTTTTAAAAATTTGGCACCAATTTCTCCTAAATCGTATGCAAAATAGAACTTTTACGACTTGTAACTGAATTCACTATGTTCTTTAACTGAAAAATAAAAAGTCTAGTTATAAATTGTAGAAAAAAAATTATTTCTTCCCTTGCAAAATATTTGTTTATTTATTATATTTTATTTATGCTTGCATAATTAATATATATTTTTATATTATTAAATAATAAAGTACCTTAATTAAGAATATCTTACAATTTAACATTTCTTCTTTTGAATAAATAATTTTCTAATTTTAAATGACTAGAGTTTTTCTTCTTTTTGTCGTTGTCAATTAAGAGAACAAACTTGCAATTTTATCACACTGATTTTCAATTAATTAACTTATTTAAAGATCATTTTCAATGGCAATGGCAATCATAATATTTTTTGGCTTTACAGTTGATTTCTATTCATGAGTTTCTCTAAATAGTTCATGCGTTGACCAACTCGTGGCTGACAAAGGCATTCTCCTTCGATATGTTCTTGAATCCAATCTAAATAGTTGGTAATTTTGGTATAAATACCTGGAAGAGATTTTCTAAAGGAAGAGTCGAAAAATTTTTATATTTTAATAACTTTTAATATTAATAAAATATTGCAGAACATTAGATTTTATTACCTTGCACATCCACGACCCCAGCTTACAATTCCAATTATTTCCATTGATCCTGTTGGTCCTTCAGTTACCATTGGACCACCTTTGAGATAGAAAAATCATTAAGTATCAATGAATTAGTCTTACAATGATGAAATCTTACCAGAATCTCCTTGACAAGCATCTTTCTTGCCTTCTGGATATCCACCACACATCTGCATATAAAATTCATCAATTATATAATGCTCAAATGCTCATAAATTATGCTTATTAAATTACCATATTGTCAGTGATTCTAGAAGTTCCATAACCAGCAGCTGAACATTCTTTTCGTGACCAAATAGGTACAATAACAGAACGAAGTGTAGACGAAGTAGGAGATTTTTCACCTAACCGTCCCCATCCCGAGATTAGTGTCAATTGGTCAGTAAAATCTGTTTGATCACCACTTGGAAGACAAATAGCAGACACCCTTGGGCCATAGAAGACAGGGTTTTCAAGTTCCAGAAGGGCAATGTCATTATCAAAACTAAATATATCGAATTCATCATGATAAATGATTCTTTTAATTTTCTTAATTTCTGAATAATCCCTAGAAATATTGTGTCCTCCCACAAAAGCCTAGTTGAAAAAATAATAATTTTAAACAACTGCAATAATTGATCAAATTTAATAGCTTACCCGAATTTCATGAGGTTCAAAGTTTGATACACAATGTGCAGCCTAAGTATTATAGACAGGTCTTTAATGATCATTAAGACATAAATGATTAAAATACAAACCGTAAGAAGAAATCTTGTTGAAATAATTGCAGCACCACAATAGAGTTTATTTTGCTTAAAGAGTGCAGCAACCCATGGTAATTCATTTGGTAATGTCTCGGAACCACCAACAATTTTTTGCTCTCGACCACGAGCCCCACAAACTACAATAAAAATTTCATAAATTATTAACCGGATTAAAATTTCTTTAAGCATTCTAAAAGGATGACAGTTATGTAAAGGACATAATTAACGTAATTAATAATTTGCATCTTTGGGGTCGCTCACTTATGACGATCATTTTTCAAAAAAGAACAATGGATTTCCAGGAATTTCTATTGTTCTTTTCTTGCTGACCCCCCCCCCCCCCCCCCCCCCCCCCAGGACGTCATAAGTGAACGGCCTCTTTCCAGCATCGCCGTAATTTTAATTGTATTTTTCTTCTTCTCTTAATTAAAATAATTTGAAAAGCCTTTCTGAAGAAGATTAAATTTACGTTATTTAAAAATGTAAGCTGCATGTTTTTAATTCGTTATTCATTTTTTATTTTGCCACAAGCCTCCAAAAAAAAGTGAACTCGAACTTTTTTTTGCTCTACCCCCATTTCAATCTGTTGTTTCGATTAGCAAGAAAAAAAATGTTTGTTGTATTTTGCACAGAATATACAAATTTATTTTTAAATATAAAAATAATAATGTTTATTTTTTTTCGAAATGAATAAACTCGTTAGCTTACAAAGAACTTGAACCCAATTTTCACTGATTTTTTTTTTCTTTTTGTTTCATGTTCATATTGTCGAAACCGAACGCACACAAAAACCTTAAAAACCATCTATAATTGCCAATAATAATTTATTTGCATAAACAAATTGTCACAACACCACCACGATACATTTTTTTGCCATTAAAATTCCAGCGGTGTTGAAAATTCTTTTTCTTCATGTTCATTACTACGAATGTTTATTTATTTTTTTTTTGAACTACGGTCACAGGCAAGAAAATGTTAATATTCATAAATTTAAAAAAATTGTTAAAAATTATATAACATGATGATTGAGGACATAATTTTGCAAAGTCATTTGTTACTGCACATCTCACGACACATTTAGTAATAGTAAAAAATTTTAAAATTGCCCTCCATTATGAATGAAAGGAAAAAAAATTTGCAACTTTCACTTTCATTGACTTTTTAAAAAAAAATACCGAAAATTTTAAAATGTTTTCTTTCACCAAATTTCAATTTAAACTAAATCACAACAATTCTCTCTGCTTCATTAATTCCGCTCCATTCACTAGCATTTCTTTTATTTGTTTTTATGAATGAAATAAATATTTGAAAAAACACTTCACAATTCTTTTACCACAATTGCATGATGATCTTGCAGAAGGAACGATATTTGCTGCACCAAATGTTATCATTAATGACAACAGAACAATTGAGCACTTCATTGTAGATTTTTTGATCCTTTTTTTTCTAATCACCGAAAACAAGTTTTTTTTTACTTTAGAATTTTAGAATCCTTTTCCTTTCACAATTAGTCTATCCGAAATATATTTTTTTTCCCAAAACAGTCAATTGAGTTCTGCCACAACTACCTCAACGCACGTCTGGCTTTATAGTCTGTTTAAACTATAAAACTGCAAGTCTATACAATGTCGCATCATAAACCATGAGCCACCACAAATATATATACGTATAGTACTTTTTTTTGTCAAATAAATTTTTACACACAATTTTTTTTTTATTTCATTGTTATCGATAAAAAAAAATTCCAAGTGTATGTATGAATGTGTATGCGTGCAAAAAATGTAAATTTTAAGGTATGTGTTTGGGGTCGATCTCCGAAAACATTTTTTTTTTCTTCATATAATGACTCCTCTTTTTGCCATTCAACCGGGCTGCTATATGCACATTAGTATATCCATTGCATGTGGAAGAAGAAGTGGGGAATGATTTATTTATTATCGCACTGTCCTTGGCACTAGTTTCATATACGTAAAAGTATGAAATGGTAATGCACAAAGTTTAGTGTTTTAAAGTTCAATATTATTTTTATTGCTATTCTTCTTTCGCATCTAGTTTGATGATTCATATTCAGCTCATTCACTTTCCATATTGTCTGTTCATTTACAATTGACAAGGAAAAAATAAATAAAAAATGTTTGAAAAAAAAAATTCATTAACGAGGGAAATTGTTCAGTTGTAATGAACTTGAGGGTCAATGATTTTTCACTATTCAGATGAGGGATATTAACAATTGTAAATATTTGTAATCGAGTTTGTAACGTTGCCATTCATATCAATCCTTCTAAAACCTAACAATTAATTGTTCAATGATTTAGATCATGAACAACATAACTAGGAACTTCTAGAAATAACAAATTATGATCATATTTGATCTTACTTTAATTTCTAAACATGTTCCTACATTTTATTATAAGTTAATAACGATTATATTTCTCTTTTTCAAGGTCACACTTACTATTAAATGACAAAATATTGGCAATCACATTAATGTATGCGAAGAGAAGTTATGAAATCAAATTTAGAGTTTATTTCATAATAAATGACTTGATCACTTAAAGATGAAGCAATAAAAATAATTATTGTATTGTAAGATCTAGGAATTATCATTAAGTTTCAAAAAAGAATATATTCAATAACTGTTGATTCATATTTACTTTGCTTTTAACAGAAATTTGAACTTGTTGTTATCATATCTTCACCTTTCGCAAGGTTAAATAACAATTTCATCTTTCTGACTTCTTTGTTCTTTAATGAACAATATCGTGTATATCTTTAATATTTGATCGCATTCCAAAATTTTTTTAAAGATGAATAATTAGTGCAAACTTCAAAATAAAAAAGTATGTCAAGAGGAAACAATAATAATACTACCTTGTCCTTTATTTTATCTTGTTCTATGATTCATTATTTGATGAACATGTCTACAACAAAACAGTGAAAAGAAATGCGGGTTGAATAAACTGTATTTTTTGAAATAAAACTTATGATTGAGTAATTAACTTCACATAAATCATTTATTTAAATTTGCAGGATATTTTGAAATGTTTCAAGATCTTCATAATCTAATGAATTTTGATTTCTTAGTAATATTGTTGATCATTATATCACATAATGATGACAAAATACATACGAATGTGACGTAAAATGATTTAAAACTTCGATTGTCGAGGTCAGTTATTGAGAAGGTTTTCTTAAGAATGCGCCACACATAAATACAAGAAGAGAATATAGAGTTGATATTCACAAGAAAAACCGTAAACCGGCACTTTTGTGACATACTTTTTCTTCTAAATTCGCTTTATAAATAAGATATAATTTACTCTTCTCTTATTTCTCTGGTTTCTCTCTTGCTTATTTACTCCCGGTTTCCAATAAAATTGAAGTAGTCGTAAAAAAGTTATTGAATATCCACAGCTGAAAGCAGAAAGAAAGCAAAACTTTGGCTTACTTAAAACTCAAAATCACTTTCTTGTTCATCATTTCGATATGTTCACGAGTCAGTTTTCATACAATAGGCTTACTGGTAACATCAAACAGTGCTCAAGATTGACTTTAAGAATATTTATTTAATATTATTTCATATCTTGTTGTTGTTGCGAAATTAAATATAAGCAATTATATAAATTGTTAAAAAAGAGATATTGTAGGTGAGCAGATATATTGGTGCTGAAAATAGTTATATTTGTGAAGAAATCCTTTTAAGGGTTTAAATTTATTTATATTAAAAAAATAAAGCTTTTAATCATTTAAGTTGAATTTATTTTTACTGAATTTTCTGATAAAAGATTCATAATAAAAAGCTACTGCTGAAAAAGGATAGAAAAAAGTTATAAAATATTTACTAAAGTTTTTTAAAAGCTATATTTTAAAAGAAAGTCTTGTGTGTGTTTTTCCTTTCATTTAATTGCTTTTTTTTTCTCTTCTCTTATTTGTTATAATAAAGAGAAGAATTATAAGAGTGTAGACTGACTCATTAGAGCTTATTGCTGGATAAATATATTTACCGCTTATCGCTTTCGAAATGCAAGTCGTTAAAAAATGTTAAGGCTTAAGTTTTTTTTTTGGCAAATGCAATTTTTCGTATAAATTGTCTTCTCACTTAAATTAGGCCGTTCGAAGTTGTCAATATTAAATTTTAATTGTGGGTACTATTATGCATTTTTAACCGTTAATCAACCAATAAAACATAAAATTTATTCTACAAGTTAAATTGATTAAATGTTTTTATGCTGTTTAAAAAAGTTTTATTTTCATAAACTCTTCCAAATTAAGTTTGGATTCAAAAATCATAATTCAATATTTATAAATCCTTTTTACTGAAAAGTCTACCTTAAAAATTCAAAACAAAAATTACATCGCAAAGTAGAATATTTTGTAAATTTTTTAGATTAAGTTTCGTTCCAGTTCAATAAATCAAAATAACAATGCAAGACTTATGGCTTAGAATTTTAGTCTTTACTTCAAGTTTTATCATAATATATTGTGATCAAGAATCAACGGTACGTATACTTTTGAGTTTAATTATTCAAAATCAAAAAGAGAAGTCATCTAAGGTTTTGAATGGATTAGTAGACTATTGTACATTTTACTAAAAAAATAATCTTATTCGGCTTCATTTACTTTTCAAAATCTTTTTAATAAAAACTTAATTTTCATTTTCATTATTTTCATAAAAGCTAATCCAAAAATATCCAGCCGAATATGAACAATATCTTCAATCAATAACAGAACAAAATAATGTTGAAGGACCTATTGTAAATGAAAAGCTAAGTGATGAGCAGCCTCAAGCAGGACCTGGCAGCAATTTCGTTCAATGGCTTCAAATTCTTTTAGGTATTACTACAACTACAGCTGCTCCAATAACATCGGCTAAACCACCGACAGATTGTGAGCCATGTACTGTGTGTGGAAGTGCTGTGAATGGAACTAAGATCGTAGGTAAGAATTTTCAAAAATTGATTGAAAAAATTAAATTAAGAATTATTTGATATTTATTAAATGAATGTTTTCAGGTGGAACAGAAACAATAAGGAACCAATATCCATGGATGGGTAAGAGCTTAAAGAAATTTTATAAAATTCACAGCTTATTGATTGATTCTAATATTTTACAGCCATGCTTTTATATTCAAATAGGTTCTATTGTGGTAAGTAAAAATGGAAATAAAGTCGTTAACACTTAAAAAATGTTTCACAATTCACAGGTGCTACCTTAATTACTGACATGCATGTTTTGGGTAAGTAAAGTTTACCAAGATGAGTTAAAGTAAACTCAATATTTTACTTTTCATTTCAGTGAGTAAATAACAAATAATTGTATGTTTACGCATCAATTTTCTTTTAATCAGACAGCTGCGCATTGTGTGAGTGGATTTAATCCTCAACGTATATCTGTAAGACTTCTTGAACATGATAGATCTGACCCAAATGACACGACTACAATCACGAGAAATGTAATTTATTTTGAAATATTGCAAACCTTCGCTGAATCTTGACAGGAATTTTAAATGTCGTAGGTTGAAAAAATCACAAAACATCCGAGATATTCGCAATCAACGTTTGACAATGATATAGCTATAATAAAATTAGATAAGCGAGTCAAATTTGAAGGGATTCTAAATCCAGTTTGCATGCCAACAAAAGGAGAATGGTACACTGGACGTGATGTAAGAATATATATCAATTATTATATTTTCAAACATTTAAATATACCAAATATAATTTAACTTGTAGGGTATAGTTGCAGGATGGGGTGAGTTAAATGTTCCTTAGTCTTAATGATAGTAAATATATAAATCCATAATAAATAATTGCGAAGGTACATTAAAGGAAGGTGGTGATGTGTCAAACACATTACAGCATGTAGCAGTTCCAATTATTTCAAATGCTGCTTGCAGACGCACAGGATATGCTCCCACTAGAATCACTGACAACATGGTAATTTATTTTACTTTAATAAATTGATTTAATCCGTTTTGACATATTTACAAAAATATCTTTTTATTCATTTTTTTTTTCTCTCTTGACTTTAAAGATGTGTGCTGGCTTTAAAGAGGGGTATGTGTGGTTTATTGCTTCATGTCGACTTTATTTACTTAATTCAATGTTTATTCTTTTTTGTCATTTCAAATTAAAAATTGATCGATTAACTGTATCATCCATTAGTCAGAAGGATAGTTGCCAATTAAGTATCATCCAATGAATTATTATTATTATTTGTTTCAATTATTTTCCATTATCTAATTGAGTTTTTTCTTCAAATTTATTTTTTCCGTGTTTCTATTGATCAATATAGGGCGACAGTGGAGGTAAATCTTACATTTTGTAGAAAATATTTATAAAATTAAAGTTAAATAATTTTAATCAAATAGGTCCGCTAGTTGTTGCTGATGAAACGACGAATGTTCATCAATTAGTTGGTGTAAGCTACATAAGATCCAAATTTACTTAAACAAAAAAATCAATAAAATTTACTTTTATTTATTTTATTAGGTTGTGAGCTGGGGAGAAGGATGCGTGAGTAGAAATAATATTTTTGAAAATTAATCATCAATTTATTCATTTTTATTTTCAGGCGAAAAAAAATTATCCTGGAGTGTACGCTCGAGTTAATCGATACGGTAGACATTAAATAAATTTTAAAACCTAATTATACAATTTATTTTATAATTCTGATAGGAACATGGATCAACCAAAATACTATAGACTCGTGTAAATGCTCACCTGCTGCATAATTAAATATGATTTAATGTTGTGTTAATTTAAAATAATTTGTCTCGATTTGATAAGTTACAAATTAAAATAAAACAAATAAAAAGTAAATTCAAAATTAAAAATTTCAAAGACAAACAAAAGAATCATAAAGAACTTGGAAGTTTAAACAAAATACAAGAAAAATAGATTAAGTTTTTGCAAATATTTTAATCCATCTCGTGAAAATTATACTCAAAATTTAAATAACATTTCATATTCACACCAATTTCTAATCATTTAATATTTATTATAGTCATTATTAAATATTCCCGCTCTCAAGTAAAGCTTAAGTTTCAGGCACTGTGTTACGGATTTTAATTGAAAATGTTTTTTAATTTATTCTTAAATCCACTACTGCTTCGTTTGCGAACATCAAAATCAATTTCTGGTCCCTCTTCAAGCCAAAATGTCTCCATTTCACCTTTACCCTGTAATAAACAATCCATAACAGTTTAGCAAGAATATTCAAAATATTATCTTAGAATAAAGCTATTAAATTTCATACCTTGACAGTCACGAGTCCACGAAATGTTAATTTATATCCCAATTTTTTTAATCCCTTTGCTGTGTTCCAAGACACTTGAATACGATTAGACTCACTGCTGCTTTCCATTCGACTTGCTGTATTAACTGTATCACCAAACAAGCAGTAACGAGGAACTTTTATTCCAACTATTCCAGCCTAGAAATTATTCAAAAATTAAGTTCATTTTATTTGAAATAAATCATTAAAATTTAAATACCACAACTGGTCCGCTGTGAAATCCAATTTTCACTGTAACTCCTTCAATCCCAATATTCTTAATTTTGTCAAGCATTTGTATTGAAAGATCTGCAACAGTTTGCATGTGCAATGGATTTTCATCTGGTGCTCCTGAAACTGCCATATAAACTTTACCAACTGTTTCTACTTTATATGCCATTGGTGATTGAATTAATTCATCAAATGCTGAAAATGCACTATTTAAGGTATTAACAGTAGCCATTGCTGATTGTATTGCATCATTTGATAATGATGTTTCTTGTACTTCTGCAAAAATAACTGTAACTTGTTCGAATGTTGAACATGTTGCAAGTGGATTTTGTCCATTCCTTAATCGATCAGCTACAGATCTTGGAATCATTGAATACAATAGTTCATCGCCTTGTTTTTTCCATGAGTCTGCAAGACTAAGTGAAGTTTCTAGCTCTTCAGCTCGTTGTTCTTCTCTTTCACACATAAGATCAAGTCGAGAGTAATGCTTAAAGCCTGAAAAGACCATTTCACGACTTAGACCGTGAAAATTTAAATCATTTAGATAAAGTCCCATTTCGCTCATTTCGTCAAGGTTGTTAATCCTGTAAATGATAATAATGATGATAAGTTTGAGCTTTAACTTGATGATGATCAACTGCTTACAATGGACTGCACAGAAATACCAACATATTAATGTCCTTTATGTATCTCATTTCACCTTTCAGCAAAATACTTTTAATTCCTTGTGAACCTCTTCTATTAAACGCAAGCATTCCCGGCTCCAAAGTGTCATGACTGGGACCAGCAACAACTTTATCGTCACTTCCTGCAGCAGTATTTCCATTAATAGGTCTGAAATTTCTTCCAGATTCTGTTCTTACTAAACCTTTTGCTGATGCAGAATTTTTGGACCTTATTAGTTGAATTTCGAACAGGACAGCTTGAAGTGTCGTAACCTGAAGAAATAACTCGAATGATAAATTAGTATGACATCTCTACGGTGCAAAAACTAACATCTCGTACATTACTGAAGTCAAACACAATACCAGTAGGGCGACGTAATTTAAAATATTTCGTAATCTTACTTCCAATCAATTCATTTGGGTGCTTGTTATCATTATTTGAAGACCACGATTCAATAAGATTATTTCCGGCCGCAACAATTTTCATCTCACAATTGAGAATCATTCCTTATTTTTTTGGTGTAGGAATGTGTTTTTTGTGATGTTGCATTTAATTAACATTTGTTTGTGACATTTTGTGTTTAATTGTGATTAAGTAAAAGTGCAAAATAATTCATTCAATTAGTATCTAATGACATTATTGAATTTCACTATGAAATTTATGCTTTTGAGTGCCTTAAAACTCAAACGTGATTTTTTTTTGGAAATTTCATAGAAAATTTCTAATATCTAATGCTATGAGATTCAATCTTAATCAATTTTGGAGATTTATCAAGAGCATAGCTACATAGGGTTAACCCTAACCTACCGCTTTATATCAAAAATTGAAAAAAAAATCCTGAATCTCATTGCATTAATTTCACTAAAACTTCTCTTAAGAAAATCAGGAGCTTACCAAATGGAAAAAGCTCTAAAAGCATTTCAGTTGTAACTGGCTTTAACAATACTTGTGATGGATGCGTTTTCATTCTCAAACTATTTTGCATCTATGAATTTTGAATTGTGCCAAATTTTGTTTGTTTTAATGATGAATCATGTGTTGTCAATGTGAACAGTGCGTGCAAAAAGATAAACAAAAAAATAACAAAATTAATTTGAAAAAGTTCTGATTAAAGTTTTTCAATAATCTTCATTACATATTCGGTGTTGTCAAAATCTAAGCGAAATTTTACTACAACAGATTTCAAGCCTGTTTTAGATGAAAGCTCGATTGGACCTACGGTTCCACCAATTGAATCATTAATTGAATCTACGACACGTATTTTCACATCTAGATTGTAAATTTCTTTTGCTATCTCCAATAATTGTCCTTTTTGGTTTTAAATTTGATTAGAAAAAATTAATATTATTTGCAGAATGTCCAAAATTCATGGATTATGTCATGCATTTGTTCACAATTGTTTCTTATTCTTAAAAAATTGTCAAATTGAAAACAAATGTGAATCAAAATTCTAGAAACTGATAAAATTAAACATTTTTAACATACTAAAGCACCATACCCATTAAATATTTGGCAAAACCTGAACGATTGCTTCGATATATAAGTATTGCACCATTATCGTCGATATCAGTAACTTGCATGGACGGTGATTTCATTTTTCGATATGTGTAGCGCATTTGTAAATGAATGTTGTCAACAGATTGAAGAAAATCGCAAAAGTATCTTCCAGTGGCTTTGATCATATCATCATAACTGAAATTGTTTCATTACCTTTTACCAATAAATTAAATTAAGCTATTTTGGCTTACCCAAAATTGCTGAAAAATCTTACAAAACATCGACCGAAGAAAATCATAAAATAATCATATTGTAGTCCAGTGATTTCTGCTAATGCAGCAGCTAAATCAGGAACTAAATTGTCTGGATATTGTTGATGAGTGTTGAAAACATTGAACTTGCATTGAGCCACGAGTAAAGCTTTATTCCATACATGATCTCCATATTCTAACTATTGGTATATTCAAAATATTATTTAAGGATTATTGAAAGGTTTACAACTTATAACAAGTTTCATATGAACTGAAAAAGTCAACTCAAACATAATCCCACCCTTTTTTTTTGTTTGGCAATATTAAAGCTAGAATCAAAATAATAATGTTTTCTCAGAAACGAAGACTCAAGATTAATTCTCCTAAATAAACTTGTGAATTTATTGCTCTTTGAGTGCAAATTTTCTGTTTTAATTAAATCACACTATTTTTGTTTGCTTTCTTCTCATTGCTTAGTTGTGAAGTTAATTAAAACTTACTGAAATTTCTTATATTTTACCTTAATTTAGGATATTCTGATAAAAGTAAACCTTTTAGAAATGCTCAGTTCTTACTTTGCTTACTTACTTGAAATTTATTATCTGATTAATTTGTAATTATTTTTACATTTTGAGGGTTCTTAACAAGTTCTTAATCAGATGTTCTTGAAAAGAAGTTCTCCAATTTTCTTTTTATCACAAAAACATTCGAAATTCCAAGAGTTTTTGGATAATAGAATGAAACGGGTGGATTAGGGAGACTAGCTAAGCGTCCTTAATATCCTTTAGAATTTTAATATTTTATGGTCGTAAGCATTGTACGAATACTTGTCATGTCGACATCACTCTTTTTGTAATTAATTAAGAGATCAAAAGTTTCTAATAAGAATCGAACCCAAGTCTTTAAAAAAGAGAGTTCCAAATATCGAGCCTGTTGCCCAACCACTTGCGCCACAGAGGCCTTACTCTCGCACTAGCAAACTCGTTTACATATAACTCAATACCCAAGATTCCACTCTGCTCAGACACCAAAAATAAAAATAATAAACTTTACTTACTTGTACAAAATGTTGCACGGATTCAAGTAACATTCCATACATCCCAGTAATTTTTTTTTGTTCCTCAAAATATTTTTAAATAAATTTGTATGTCTTCCAAGTAGAAATTCGTGATGTATGTTAACTCTAATAATAAAATTCCAAGAGTTACAGAATAAAGAAAAATATTCGCAACATCATTCATAAATTTTTCAATATACTACAAAATGTCTTTTGTCATGAATTTATTTTTTATTATGAATAAAATCATTTTATGAATATAAATGAAGTGTTCATTATTTGTTCATTTGACCGGAAAATGTTTGTACTTTAAATTATAAACCCTTTTTTATAAGTCAATCTTTACCATTATTTGAATAATATAATTTATTCATAAAATCACCGAAAAATCCTTAAAAACACAAATTCTATTTAAAGTTCTGAAAAAAGGATTTTTAGATCTTAAGATACACATTCGAATGCTTCTAGACTTTGTTTAACATGTCACATTAAGATGCTGTACAAATAAAATTCCATTAGTAGAAGATTAGCTTTTTATGTGACAAATAAAGAACCATTTCTTTAGTTCTAAATTAAGCATTATGTGAGAATTAAACTTCATTGCTTCTTACAACATAATATCAAAACTTATAAAAAATGTATTTTTATCTTTTCTCTTTCTTTATGTTCAGAATGATCAGCATAAAATGATTAGACATATTAAATTAGTATTTATAACATTCGTTGAATTCTGAGTAATTTTAAAATTAATTTAAACGTGTTTTCGCACCTTAATCTTAATCAAAAATATCAATTTAAATAATGAACACACTTTATAAATATTTTCTCAACTCTCACTATTCACATTCGTAGTGTACGATGCTCTCGGCACCCTAAATTTAACTGGATGCTTTTATATAGTAGCACACTTCCTTTTATATCAACTCATCATAATTATTACAGTAACATAAAACTTTATTAATTATCTTCTTTCATCCATAAACATAAATTATATTGCAAGCGACACAGGACACTAATCAATTGTCACGAAATGCTCGCGATATTAATATATTTTTTCGACATCATCATTCTTTGACCTGCTATTCATCAATTTTATTTTTCAATTTTCCTTCTTTTATTTACAATTTGATGAAAATCTTCAAGTTTATAAAACTTGAAATTGAATAAAAACGAAATTTTATTTTTTAATCTAGAACTTTTGTTGTAAGTATTTGTCTGCTTATATCTTCAACGTCTCACGATAAACTAATTTTATTAAAGGACAAAATTTCATCAAATATTGACGATAATAACGAGAGAGAAAGAAACGAGAATTTTTTCCTATTCAGCGCATGACAGGAGAGCATTTTTTGAATCATTCAATGTGGGAAGCTGTTCATAGAATGCATCAGGTGTTTTATTGTTTACTACTATTTCTGTGCTGAAATATCAATTAGCTGTTAACAAGGTAAAAAAATCAAATATTCAGGAATCATTAGAATAATATTAATTTTTAAATGTTTCGAAATTAAAACTTTTAAAAACAAATTATTGAGCTCAATTATTAAATTAAACAAATCTTATGTCTTCAAAGTATTTTAGGAATCATGAATAATTTATAGAAAAGTCAAGTTTAGCAAAAGGTTTCGTTTGAATATATTTTCAATATATTTAATTCAGGAGCGTATTAAGGGGGTTTTAGGTGCTTGAGCCACTCCGACATCAATAATTATATTTTGAAACATATAATATTAATTTTTTAACACGAATTTTGTAGCAAGGTTTGCAGAGGGTCTAAGAAAGTAAGTAATAAATGAGCGACCCTTTATCAACCCTAATAAGAAGGTTTAAATTCATTTATTGATTGAAAAAAAAATATCCGAATTCTTCAAAAATCCTAGCTTCACCCCTGATCTGATTTAATATTAGGGATTTAAGTCTAAAAGTCAAATGTATTTTTTTAAAAGAAAATAATTGAATTTATGACTTTAGAAAAATTTATTTATAAGCAGAAAATATAAAATTCATAAAAATATGAATACGACTTGCAACTATGTTTCTCATAAAAGCTTAAAAGTAACAATTTTAATGAAATCCGTTTGTAATAATTCTTTGAAAAAATCATTAAAAAAGTTTTGAGTATCCAATTTGTTTTCGTCATACCAACAGCGTAACCAGAACTTTAAATGGGATGCTCAAAACTTTTTTCACCGGAAAACCATAGCAATTTTTAAATAAGTTTCTTATTACGAACGAATTTTGGTGAGAAGATGGATGAATTTCTAACAACCCCAACTACACAGCATGGCTAGCTTGCCAAAAAAACAGGAATAAATGAAATATAATCAGGCAAAGCTTAAGAACCGTTCAAATAATCACTTTAAGAACCCTCTCCAACCCCTCTTTTTACAATTTTTTTTTGACTGTGTTATGAAATCCGATACCTAAGCCTCTGTTCCCAAAAAGCAAACGCAATGAGTATAAGCTTTTGATAGAAAATTAGGAAGTTTTTTCATATAAAATACATGCCGAGAATATTAAGCTGCTACGAATGAAATTTCATTTATGATTCACAATTTATTTTTTTAAGAAAGTCTGAAATATTTTAAACAGATTCTAAAGTTGCAAAGCTACAGTACTTTGTGCTTTAGAATCCAGTAACTAGATACTATGAAGCACAAAACAAGTAATTCGTGACTATATTGAAATATAGATATTTCTAAGGAATTAAAGGTAAAAAGCAATTGCGACCGTTGACATAACATACATGTGACTCTTCTACATGATTTCAATCCGGTGTGTCATTAAACTAAGCTTTTCGTTTAAAGCATCCCCAAAATTTGCTGCGTAGAGATTTTTATGGCGATCGGTACGGTTTGGCTTTTTCATTAAATATATTTTTTTCCCTCTCTTTCGGTTTTATTACCATCATAAAAAAAATCTTCATTCGTACGGCTAACACCATTATGTACACAATAGCTTTAATGAAAACTTGATTATATGGAATACAAACAACACTAATATTGGGTTTAGTGGCTGTGAACCACAAGACTGAAATGTTTATTAAACTTATAAACTCGTATTTGGCTTTATATAATTTTTTAAAAATTCAATTTAAATAGTTTTGAACTTTTAAGCATCAAAAAGAAAGTTTAAATTAAAGAATATATTTCAAAGCCACAGCTAGAATAAATACAAAGATGTTCAAACGAATGATTGTTGAACTGTTTTCATTTTCCTTCTTTAGATATTCGTATAAAGGTTTGAAATATTCAACAAGTGCTTTGCCAGTAATTTCAGTCTCTCCTGTCATTGCTTTCAAAGCTTCTGACCAATGTTTACTCATTCCTAATGACAATCCATCTCTAATAAGTTTACCAGCTTCCTTTGATTGATCAATATCACATTTGTGAAGAGGTTTAGTAGAGTTTTGTGGATCATATTCACCAGCTGTTATGCATAGTGAACGATGCAATTGAAACTCAAGAATATGTGCAAGGAAATAAGCAATATACTGAACATCTGCTGGGATATGATATTTTGCGCCTGGATCGAAGAATTCTTCACCACGTGCAGTTGGTGCCTTGACTTTCTGATATTGTTCTCTCAATTTCCACCAATGTTGATTCCATTGAGTTTCATTTACTTTTCCACTAAACAAATCCCATCTCCACATGTCAATAATCAGTCCAAATGGAAGAAAAGCAACACGTTCAAGTGCCATTTTGAAGAGAGCATTAATATTGTCAGCTTCATTATCAGCATAATTTTCAAGAAGATTCATTTTTTCTAAATGCTTTGGTGTACTGACTGAAAGAGCAATTAAATCGCCAACAGCTTCATGGAATGCTGGATTTGCACCAGTTCTTAAAGTTAAAGGCTGATCCTTATACAGTATAAAATAATTGATATGTCCCATCTATATAATAAATTTATATTTCTATTATCTTTAAATTTGGAAAAATGTAAGTAAATAATTGAAAATGTACCTCGTGATGGACCTAAAAAGGAATATGAAAATCACAATAAATTATAACAAATTTCTCAAAACGTATCTAGAGAGTTAAGCATACCGTAATGTAATCTTCTTGATTTATACTTGTACACATTTTGATTCGGAAATCTTCTCCGTCGCAAAAGTCCCATGCGCTTTAGAAATGTGAAAAAAAAAGATATTAAGAATATGTTTCGTGGATGTCAAAATAAATATGTCAAACCTGGCATGACAAGTAATGGTTTTATTCATAGGCTTCTCAATGACTGCTGTGTCGCCATAGCTCATTTGATTATCAGGCAATCCGAGATTTGTGAAAAAGTCATTCGAATCGTCAAACATTTTACGGACTGTATAATTATTTTTCTTGAATCCTTCTGAAATGTCTATTGAGCTTCCTTCTTTAAATGGCTTGATTTTCTCATAAAGATTGACCCAACTTTGTGCCCACATATTTCCAAGAAGGTGAGCTTCTATTAACCCATCATCGTCGTTCATTTTGGCTCCATAAACAGACTTCAATTTTCTTCGAACATATGTATGTAATTCATTGTATAATGGCTCAACATCTGCCCACATTTTATTAACATTGGCTATAAGGTTATCATCATCATAAGCTTCCCTCCATATTTCTCCATAATCTTCTTTGCCTGTGTTAAAAGTAATGTATTAATCAATCTTTTCTTCATTTTTACTTCTATCTTACCGTTCAACTTTGCAGCTTCATTGAGCATGTTAAGATAGTTTCTGTAATCAGTTCTCATTAATTTTCCAGTTTTTTCACGCCATTCTGACCAAGTCCTATAGAGAAATCAGTAGAATAATTAAAATAATGTGTCCAGGACTGAGCAATAGGGTTCCCTGAAGGGAGCAACACCTATCCCCCTAATTATGTCCTTACCAAAGAAGTTCGTCATAGTTTTCGGATGTTGACAATATTCTACCCATATCAGGATCAAGGGTTAAGCCACTGGTTTCTAAATTGCACTCAGTATTATTAAATGGACATATTCTTGCTGTATTGTAGATTGTTTCCATTGTTGTTTGTGTGTTGGTAAGCTGAAAAATCAAACAAAATTTTTTTTGAAATAAAATTGTAAAATCAGAGTTTCTCAAACTTTTTTCATTGGTGGCACACTTATTAAAATTTCAAAGATTAAGCGACACACTAACAAAAACCTCGCGACACAAAGTTTAAGAACCACTGCAGTCAATATTAATTACATTTCTCAATCGATTCTCATCCAATGCATCACGTCCAAGAGTCACCAACTGCTTCAGCTGTCTTTGAACTTTTTCATCTGAATAGTCTTCTGGCTTGACATTCTTGAAATGATTCTCATAAAATTCTTTTGTAAATACGGAATTTTTAAGAACGACCTTTTCATAATCGTCTTTCTTGGTTTGACTCTCTGAGTCTGTTGCTACATCCCACTCTGCTTTTACAAGTTCATTGCACATCTGAGTTCCCTTAACCTCGTAATCAGCAAGAACTTCAATCATTTTGTTCTCTTTTTCGAGGAAATCTTTCAATGGCTTAAAGTATTCTAGCAATGCTTGTGCTGAAATTTCACGTGATCCGGTAAGAACTTCTAAAGCTTCACTCCAATGTCTACTATATCCCATTTCTAATCCTGCCTTTAACTTGGCTCCTGCTGGTTTGCTGGTATAAAAATCACATTTATGAAGTGGATGTTCATCAGGATTTGCAGGATTGTATTGACCTGCTTCAATACATAAACTTTTATAAAAACTGAATTCTAAAATATGAGCTACAAAATAAGCTATATATTGAGAGTCGGCGGGGATATGATATTTAGCACCAGGATCAAAGTATTCTTCACCGCGAACAGATGGAGCTCTGACTTTTTGATATTGTTCTCTCAATTCCCACCAACGTTGATTCCATTGACTTTCTGTTGTAGCTCCCTTGAATAAATCCCATCTCCATTTGTCAATAAGTAATCCGAATGGAAGGAAAGCAACACGTTCGAGGGCCATTTTAAACAGTGAATTTATATTATCAGCTTCACTGTCTTGATAATTATTCAAAAGACCGACAATTTCAAGATGTTTTGGTGTTGAAACTGAAAGAGCAATTGTGTCACCAATGGCTTCATGGAAGCCTGGATTTGCACCAGTTCTATAAAGCAAGGGATGATCCTTGTAAAGTAAATAATACATGATATGGCCCATCTATATAATAAATTTAAGAATATGATTTTTTTAATTTTTTGAATAATATAAATAAATAATTAAAAATGTACCTCGTGATGTACCTAAAAAGTAATAGAAAAATCTCAATAAATTATAGCAAAAAAGAAACAAATGTATCGAACATACCGTAACAAAATCTTCTTGATTAACTTTTGTACACATTTTTATACGAAAATCTTTACCGTCACAGAAATCCCATGCACTATAAAGATAAAAGGAAATGTCTTAAGAAGTTTGACAAAATAATATTCATCTCGGCGTATACACCAGGTTATGCCAAAAATGGATAGTTTTTAATAGTTCATAACACAATCAAGTAGAACTAGGAATTTTTGGATTCAATCTCGCCATGATATTGTTATTTTACCTAGCATGACACGCGATAACGCGGTCTTCTGGTTTAACAATAATTGATGGATCGTTGAAACTCATGTTACTAGTCGGTAAACCTAAGCTCATATAAAACTCATCAGACATCTCAAATAATTGTTTAGGAGTAAGATGAAGTTCTTCCATTTTTGATGTTACATCAAGGGATGATGCATGCTTGAATGGCTTAATGCGATCGTAGAGATGGACCCAACTTTGTGCCCTGTTTAATGATTTTTTTAAATTAAAATTCGAAATAAAAAAAGTGACTTCATCATTTAGCTTAGTTCTGCAGCCTTGAATAGAAATCACTTACCACATATTTCCTAAAATATGTGCTGGAATCATTTCATCAGACTTGTTCATTTTATCACCATATAAATCCAACAGCTTATAACGGACATATTTATGTAATTCAGTATAAAGTGGTTCAACTTCTTTCCATAAATTATCTACAATTGATTCTAAATCGTCTACTTCGAACCGGCTGCGCCACATTGCACCAGCATCTAAAATTTTATAACAATTTAATTTTACATGAAAATTAAAAAAATTTCAATTTTTACCTGAAAAATTGGTCAAAATTGCAGCTTCGTTGTATATCTCGATGTAAGTTTTATATTGCTCTCTCATATGTTTTCCAGATGCATCATGCCATTGTTCCTTAATTGAAAATAATTATTATTCCATAAGTTTTGAAGCTTTTATTTATGTCTTACCCAAATATACTTCATTTCATCGAAATCAGTGGAGCTTGCCATTTTGAGATCAATATCTGGATCTAAAGTCCATCCTTCAGTCTCCAAGTTACACACTTGCTTATTGTAAGGGCAAATAGTTGCTTTATTGTAAATTCCAGACATGTTTGTTCGTGTTGATGTTAAAAGATTGAATTTATCGTCAGATAGTGCCGCTGTTCCTACATTACTGAGAATTTTAAGTTTTCTTAAAACATTTTCATCACTAAAACTTGCTGTATCAATATTTTTAAAATTTTCGTGATATTGTTCTTTACGATAGTTTGCGTATGCAAGAGAAGCTTCAGCCTAACAAATGAAAAGAATTATTGATGTAAAAAATTAAACTAGATTTGAAAATAATTAGATTTATAAAAATTTCGCATAAATAAAAAAATTGCAAAATAGAAGCATCCTAGCCTTGATTAAATATTGATTATTCTATCTTGAAGTGCTCTCCCAATGAACTTATTTATAATTTTCAATTGGTTGCAAATTGCAATTGATAACAACCATTTTTTTTATTATCTAAAGCTTTTTTGCAGTGAACATGTGTCATTAAAACTTTATTTTATCATTAATTTGACATAAAAGAAATTTGATAAAAAAATATTTATGGTATATTCTTACGCAGGGGTGTAATCGGAGACCTCAGATTTCCCTAAAACATATGTTTTAAATAAAAATTATTTTTCCTTTAAAAAGATTCAAAATTTTAACAAAGTCATGTGAAAATATGCGTCAGAATGAAAATAAAGTAGTTTCAAAAAAGCTTAGATCTAAAATGTGACGGTTGATATTAGGCTGTTATCAATTGTCTTTACATTTCGGCAAAAAGTCTAACTTAAAAAAGTAATTTTAAAATTCAATGTCATTCACTGTAATCGGATTTAATAAATTGATTGTTAAACTTAAGTGGTTGTTTGATAAATTCTATTGTATTTCTTTTTTATCAGAGAGATCAATATATAATGATTGATTACATTTTGCAATAAATAGAGTCAAAAATCACAATGGTGAAATAAATTGATTAGCTTTTGAAATTTCATGATTTTCAGATTTTGTAAATTTTTGAGTGAATTTTAAGATTTTAAATATTTACTATTCTGTGATCTTAGCACTTTGCAAATGGGTAAATTACATTTAATATAGGTTTCGTTCACTAATGACGTCCATCATTTATTTAGGAAATTTTTTGACATTTCCATAAAAAGAAATAAAACAAATGTAGGAATGAGGTCCAAAAATCCCAACTTTGATGAATGTCATAAATAAGCGACGTAATTTTAATTATGCAAAATATTCAACACTTTTTTTAATAGTCAACCATGACTAGAATATTATATTTTGAATTCTATTGAAGAAAAAGGTGAGCAAGATTTTTTATCATCGTAAAAAAAATCAAACAAATTTTGCCGGCAATAATAAAACTATTATTTAATTAAATTACCTGAGCTTGTTCTTTTTCTTTATTTCCTACATCAGTTTGTGCAGCCCAATTACCTTTAGCTTGAGCATTACAGAATTTTTTAGTTTCTTCATCATAAGTTTTTAACTTTTCAATCATTTCTTCTTGAGTTACAGCTGATATTACATCAACGATTAGTATTGATGCAATGAATGCCACAACTAGTAGTGTTTGCTGCAATTTTTTATAAAGCGTAATTAATAAGTTACGTAATTTTTATTTAAACATGCAAACTGATAATAAAAAAAATTACATGAGAAATGATGATGTTAACATATTCAATAACAAAATATGTCAATGAAAAGGTTATGCAATTTAAGTAATATTTTAAAATAAATATTCTAATTTCACAAAGTAATTTATGATCACAATTCACCAAAAACTTAAATTAAATAAGCACTCTCACCTTCATCTTGGCCAATTCCAAGCTCACAATCTAGTAAAAAATCAAATTATTAAATGTTTAATATTTCACGATCTTTAATTCCAAAACTAATCAACTCGAGTTGAACGCTTAGCAGCGACTAATGAATTATTGAATAAAGTTTGTGGTAATATATTGTTGCTTAACCTAACCACTCAGCTCCTATTGGCAGTATAATTTTTATCGCTCTTTTTGTCTTTCTCTTTTTAAAGACAACATCGGAAAAAAAATCATTAATTGTTTTGCTCAACATGTGCAATGATAAGATTAAACTCTTATTTATTTTTTATTGATAATGTTCTCAGTTGTTTGTTCAAATTATGGTGTAAATAAATACTAATTTAACTTTTTTGACTTTTATTATAATTTAACAAATTAAAAGAATTGACTTTTTAATTGATTATTAATCACATTTAAACACGTTGTTCAATAAAATTAAAAATATTATCAATCAATTCTTGCTTATTCACAATTTGATAAAACAATTTTTAAATTATCGAATTGCTTGTTGACAATCATTCATAATATGATCGATGCATCCTCTTGCTTAAGATACAACAATATATTTGTCAATCGATAAGATTTCAAACAAATATCACATATCACACAAACGAGAGATAATAAAGATTCAAAATGTTTGTAAAATAATTTGAAAGGTTTTTTAAAAAACTTTAAATTGTAATGCTGTTAAAAATAATCTGTGCTTTTTCGTAGTAATTTAAAATTTTCATGGCCGTTGTGGTTTTGAAAATATTGTATTTTAAATTATTTTAAATTTTTAATTTAAAAAAATTATTCTATTTTTCGATAAATCTTTAAACTTGAAAATTAATTATTTTCTTTAATTTTGCAACTTAATCGATTCCAAAATAAAAAATCTATTTCACAAATCAAGAAGAAAGAAGTTGTAAGAATTGAAAATACTAATTATACAATCATATTTATTGATAAGTTAAGAAAGCGATATGATTAAACATTTATCATTTAGTATAAGATTGTAAAAAAATATTGAACAAGCTTTAGTAGGTTTTCGGAGTTTGTTTGAATAAAAAGCTAGAGAAGTGGAACGAGACTTGAAAATTTAAAGTAATGTGGAAAGTCATTTTCCTCATATTTTTTGCAAATATAGCATCACTATATGGAGACCAACACAGTCATGATATTCGCACGAGATTTATAAACCAACCTCTAGATCATTTTAATCCATTCAATAGAAGGAACTTTGATCAGCGCTACATACAAAACACAGAATTTTTCCATGATGGAGGTCCAATCTATATTTATTTGACTGTTGGCGAGGAATATTTTGGCGTTTATGACACATTTATAAAAAGTGGATTGGTATATGAAATTGCTGAAGAAACTAATGGATTACTATTTGCTCTTGAACATCGTTATTTTGGATTAAGTCGTCCAACAGAAGATACAACTTTTGACAATCTTCAATGGTTGAACATTCACCAAGCTTTAGCAGATATTGCTCGATTTATTGCATTTGTTAAAGAAAATACTTATGGAGCTGAAAATTCTCGTGTAATTCTTTGGGGACGTGGATATGGAGGATCGTTAGCAATTTGGTCTAGACTTAAATATCCAAATCTTGTTGATGGAGCATGGGGTTCGAGCTCTCCACTAAATGCTGTTCTTGAACATTCACAGACTCTTGTTAATGCATTTACAACAATTAACAATATTGGTGGACCTGAATGCGGAAGTACAATTCAAGAAGCTTTCCAAATTTTAGATGAAGCTTTTATGACTGGAAATACAAGTTTTATTGTTGAGAGATTAAGATTGTGCGAAGAACTTGACAGTTCAAATATTTATGATCTAGCTCGCATAGATTATTCAATAGCTACTGATAGTTATCGGTTCATCCAAAATGCACGATATCCAGAAATTGATGAGAAATGTAGAATAATTACTGGTGCTGATACTCCCGATAATCCACCAATAGATGCTCTTGATGGTTTTGCCAGATGGTATATTGATGATCTTAATAGACATCGTGATTGTTTTGATTATAGAAATGATGTAGTTGTTGCTATGTATTCCGATCCTGAATGGGACTCAGTTTCAACAATTGACGGTCGCCGACAAAAATTATGGCTTCAATGTACACAACTTGGAGGCTTTCCAATCACAAATGAGGGTACTGAACATCCTTACGGACGCAGATTTGAAATTCGTTTCTTTAGAAGATGGTGTGCTGATGCATTTGCCAATGAAAAGTAAAAATTATAAAATTAAAGGTTTGATATTTTTTTATTTCATTTAAATTTATTTAAAAGTTTTATAGATAGATGGTTCATGGACGATTTGATTGGACAAACCAATCAACATTTCGGAGGGTTAAACCCAAAAATATATAGAATATTACTAACTCATGGTGAAATGGACCCGCTAAGAACCTTGTCAGCATTAACTGATCTAAATTCTCAGGCTAAAGTTCACGTTATCAACAGTAAGTTTAAACTTATATAAAGTTACATTAATTTTTTAAAATTCAATTCCTCCTCAGTGGAATCATTTAGCCGAGATATGGGCTCGCCCTCAGAAGTTCAAGATTATCCACATCTGTTGGAGGTAAAAGGAATTATTCGCGACGAAATATTGGGCTTCATTAGAGCTGCTGATGAAGATCAACCAACAACACCTCCACCAAATGAAACCCCACCACCCATCGAGCCCGGAAGTTATTAAACCTTAATGAAAACAAATGACAAAAATTTTCTGAAAAAAAAATATGATATTTAAGTAAAATAAATTCAATTTCAAAAATTATCAGAATTTTAAAACTTGCTATCAAACTAAATTGAATTAGAGATTTTAAATTTAAAAACACTTCACGTTTCTTCTAATTGCAAAGATAATATTTATTCACTTCCTTTCATCTGTCTGAAAATAACATTTTGGACTACTGATAAAGAACTTGAGAACATATAATAAATTTAAAAAAAAAAGGTTCCAAATAATCATACTCATTCTTATAGCACTTACGCAACTCAACTGATAAAAAAAGTATAAGTGTGCTAATTTAAAAAAAAAATTATACCAAAAGCTCAAATCGAGCATACTCAATCCAATCATTAACAGCCTGTTGAACTCTTAGTTTTGTGTCTCTCAAAACAACATAGTCAGCATCATCAGGTGAACCCATATCTCGACTGTGTGATTGAAGTGACATGACAACAACAGATGATAATCGGTTTAAATCTGAATTTGGACCTAGTGTACGAATTGGATCTAGTTCGCCATGAGTAAGAAATACTCGAAAGACACTCGGATTCAGACCACCAAAAAGTCTATTGACTGTTCCAATTGAATCTTGCATAAACCATGGATCAAGGAAACTGTGGAGAGAAAAAAAAATATTAATTTGTTTTATTGTTTATGGTTTAACCAACTCACATGTCATTTTGGAATGCATCCACACACCACTGTTCATAAAATCTCAAATCAAATCGTGTTCCAAACGGATGTCCTTCTCCATTATTAGCAGTTGCAAGTTGACCCATCTGTGTACATGATAACCAATACCTTTGACGTCTTCCAGTTGATGATGTATCTGATTCCCATTCAGTAGCTTGAAATTGCGCTACAACTTCATCATTCGTTACGGCTAAACAATCAATTTCACTATTAAAATCATCAATATACCATCTTGCAAAGGCATCTAAAGCATTTGATGGAGGATTATTTGGCTGATCGACTCCTCTCATTATTCGACATTTCTCATCAATATCAGGATATCTTGCATTGCTTACAAAATTTTCACCGATGTCTTGAGCAATCCAGTTTGTAGCTCTAGCTATGTCATATCCACTATCATGATCAAGTGGTGTACAGAATTTCAATCTTTGTTCCATAAAGCTTGTATTCCTTTCAACAAAAGATTCTTCCATAAATCTAAATGCATCGGCTAAAATTTGACCGCATTCTGAACCTCCTATATTATTGATTGTTCTGAATACATTTGGAAAATAGTCAACATTTTCTACGATAGCATTTAATGGAGAGCTTGAGGACCAAGCGCCATCAATTACATTGGGATATTTTTGACGTGCCCATACAGCCAGAGATCCACCATAATTTCTTCCCCATAAAATTACAGGTGCATCAAGATATCGTTGTCTCATGAAACCAGCAAATCTTCCTATATCTGCAACTGCTTGATGAACCGTTAGCCATTGAAGATTGTCAAATGAAGCGTCAGTTGTCGGAAGACTTTGTCCAAAATATCTATGTTCTAATGCAACCATTACACCGCCTTGAGATTGAGCCACTTCAAACATATTTCCTCGTAAAATAAATTCTGGAGTGATCTCATCTGATCCGCCGACAAAAATGAAAATTGGTCCATTTTCTCTATACAAATTTTCATTGATTAAATATCGTATATCCCAAGTTCTTGGATTGGTAGATGTAAAATGATCGATTGGAAGATTAAACCAACGAACATGAAACTCAGGTGGTGATGGTGGAGGGGGAGGCTCTGGATCTCCAAATCGAGCATACTCAATCCAATCATTAACAGCCTGTTGAACTCTTAGTTTTGTGTCTCTCAAAACAACATAGTCAGCATCATCAGGTGAACCCATATCTCGACTGTGTGATTGAAGTGACATGACAACAACAGATGATAATCGGTTTAAATCTGAATTTGGACCTAGTGTACGAATTGGATCTAGTTCGCCATGAGTAAGAAATACTCGAAAGACTCCCGGATTCAGACCACCAAAAAGTCTATTGACTGTTCCGATTGAATCTTGCATAAACCATGGATCAAGGAAACTGTGGAGAGAAAAAAAAATATTAATTTGTTTTATTGTTTATGGTTTAACCAACTCACATGTCATTTTGGAATGCATCCACACACCACTGTTCATAAAATCTCAAATCAAATCGTGTTCCAAACGGATGTCCTTCTCCATTATTAGCAGTTGCAAGTTGACCCATCTGTGTACATGATAACCAAAACCTTTGACGTCTTCCAGTTGATGATGCATCTGATTCCCATTCAGTAGCTTGAAATTGCGCTACAACTTCATCATTCGTTACGGCTAAACAATCAATTTCACTATTGAAATCATCAATATACCATCTTGCAAAGGCATCTAAAGCATTTGATGGAGGATTATTTGGCTGATCGACTCCTCTCATTATTCGACATTTCTCATCAATATCAGGATATCTTGCATTGCTTACAAAATTTTCACCGATGTCTTGAGCAATCCAGTTTGTAGCTCTAGTTATGTCATATCCACTATCATGATCAAGTGGTGTACAGAATTTCAATCTTTGTTCCATAAAGCTTGTATTCCTTTCAACAAAAGATTCTTCCATAAATCTAAATGCATCGGCTAAAATTTGACCGCATTCTGAACCTCCTATATTATTGATTGTTCTGAATACATTTGGAAAATAGTCAACATTTTCTACGATAGCATTTAATGGAGAGCTTGAGGACCAAGCGCCATCAATTACATTGGGATATTTTTGACGTGCCCATACAGCCAGAGATCCACCATAATTTCTTCCCCATAAAATTACAGGTGCATCAAGATATCGTTGTCTCATGAAACCAGCAAATCTTCCTATATCTGCAACTGCTTGATGAACCGTTAGCCATTGAAGATTGTCAAATGAAGCGTCAGTTGTCGGAAGACTTTGTCCAAAATATCTATGTTCTAATGCAACCATTACACCACCTTGCGATTGAGCCACTTCAAACATATTTCCTCGTAAAATAAATTCTGGAGTGATCTGATCTGATCCACCGACAAAAATGAAAATTGGTCCATTTTCTCTATACAAATTTTCATTGATTAAATATCGTATATCCCAAGTTCTTGGATTGGTAGATGTAAAATGATCGATTGGAAGATTAAACCAACGAACATGAAACTCAGGTGGTGATGGTGGAGGGGGAGGCTCTGGATCTCCAAATCGAGCATACTCAATCCAATCATTAACAGCCTGTTGAACTCTTAGTTTTGTGTCTCTCAAAACAACATAGTCAGCATCATCAGGTGAACCCATATCTCGACTGTGTGATTGAAGTGACATGACAACAACAGATGATAATCGGTTTAAATCTGAATTTGGACCTAGTGTACGAATTGGATCTAGTTCGCCATGAGTAAGAAATACTCGAAAGACTCCCGGATTCAGACCACCAAAAAGTCTATTGACTGTTCCGATTGAATCTTGCATAAACCATGGATCAAGGAAACTGTGGAGAGAAAAAAATTATTAATTTGTTTTATTGTTTATGGTTTAACCAACTCACATGTCATTTTGGAATGCATCCACACACCATTGTTCATAAAATCTCAAATCAAATCGTGTTCCAAATGGATGTCCTTCTCCATTATTAGCAGTTGCAAGTTGACCCATCTGTGTACATGATAACCAAAACCTTTGACGTCTTCCAGTTGATGATGCATCTGATTCCCATTCAGTAGCTTGAAATTGTGCTACAACTTCATCATTCGTTACGGTTAAACAATCAATTTCACTATTGAAATCATCAATATACCATCTAGCAAAGGCATCTAAAGCATTTGATGGAGGATTATTTGGCTGATCGACTCCTCTCATTATTCGACATTTCTCATCAATATCAGGATATCTTGCATTGCTTACAAAATTTTCACCGATGTCTTGAGCAATCCAGTTTGTAGCTCTAGCTATGTCATATCCACTATCATGATCAAGTGGTGTACAGAATTTCAATCTTTGTTCCATAAAGCTTGTATTCCTTTCAACAAAAGATTCTTCCATAAATCTAAATGCATCGGCTAAAATTTGACCGCATTCTGAACCTCCTATATTATTGATTGTTCTGAATACATTTGGAAAATAGTCAACATTTTCTACGATAGCATTCAATGGAGAGCTTGAGGACCAAGCGCCATCAATTACATTGGGATATTTTTGACGTGCCCATACAGCCAGAGATCCACCATAATTTCTTCCCCATAAAATTACAGGTGCATCAAGATATCGTTGTCTCATGAAACCAGCAAATCTTCCTATATCTGCAACTGCTTGATGAACCGTTAGCCATTGAAGATTGTCAAATGAAGCGTCAGTTGTCGGAAGACTTTGTCCAAAATATCTATGTTCTAATGCAACCATTACACCGCCTTGAGATTGAGCCACTTCAAACATATTTCCTCGTAAAATAAATTCTGGAGTGATCTCATCTGATCCACCGACAAAAATGAAAATTGGTCCATTTTCTCTATACAAATTTTCATTGATTAAATATCGTATATCCCAAGTTCTTGGATTGGTAGATGTAAAATGATCGATTGGAAGATTAAACCAACGAACATGAAACTCAGGTGGTGATGGTGGAGGGGGAGGCTCTGGATCTCCAAATCGAGCATACTCAATCCAATCATTAACAGCCTGTTGAACTCTTAGTTTTGTGTCTCTCAAAACAACATAGTCAGCATCATCAGGTGAACCCATATCTCGACTGTGTGATTGAAGTGACATGACAACAACAGATGATAATCGGTTTAAATCTGAATTTGGACCTAGTGTACGAATTGGATCTAGTTCGCCATGAGTAAGAAATACTCGAAAGACTCCCGGATTCAGACCACCAAAAAGTCTATTGACTGTTCCGATTGAATCTTGCATAAACCATGGATCAAGGAAACTGTGGAGAGAAAAAAAAATATTAATTTGTTTTATTGTTTATGGTTTAACCAACTCACATGTCATTTTGGAATGCATCCACACACCACTGTTCATAAAATCTCAAATCAAATCGTGTTCCAAACGGATGTCCTTCTCCATTATTAGCAGTTGCAAGTTGACCCATCTGTGTACATGATAACCAAAACCTTTGACGTCTTCCAGTTGATGATGCATCTGATTCCCATTCAGTAGCTTGAAATTGTGCTACAACTTCATCATTCGTTACGGTTAAACAATCAATTTCACTATTGAAATCATCAATATACCATCTAGCAAAGGCATCTAAAGCATTTGATGGAGGATTATTTGGCTGATCGACTCCTCTCATTATTCGACATTTCTCATCAATATCAGGATATCTTGCATTGCTTACAAAATTTTCACCGATGTCTTGAGCAATCCAGTTTGTAGCTCTAGCTATGTCATATCCACTATCATGATCAAGTGGTGTACAGAATTTCAATCTTTGTTCCATAAAGCTTGTATTCCTTTCAACAAAAGATTCTTCCATAAATCTAAATGCATCGGCTAAAATTTGACCGCATTCTGAACCTCCTATATTATTGATTGTTCTGAATACATTTGGAAAATAGTCAACATTTTCTACGATAGCATTCAATGGAGAGCTTGAGGACCAAGCGCCATCAATTACATTGGGATATTTTTGACGTGCCCATACAGCCAGAGATCCACCATAATTTCTTCCCCATAAAATTACAGGTGCATCAAGATATCGTTGTCTCATGAAACCAGCAAATCTTCCTATATCTGCAACTGCTTGATGAACCGTTAGCCATTGAAGATTGTCAAATGAAGCGTCAGTTGTCGGAAGACTTTGTCCAAAATATCTATGTTCTAATGCAACCATTACACCGCCTTGAGATTGAGCCACTTCAAACATATTTCCTCGTAAAATAAATTCTGGAGTGATCTCATCTGATCCACCGACAAAAATGAAAATTGGTCCATTTTCTCTATACAAATTTTCATTGATTAAATATCGTATATCCCAAGTTCTTGGATTAAATGATGAATAATGATCCAACGGAAGGTTCAGAAATCCAGTTCGATATGTATTATCTTGAGCACTTATAAAATTATATAATAATATAAAAACGATTATTTTTGAAGCCAACATTTTCTAATTAATCACTGTTTCCTTAGTAAAATATGACTGATATTTTTGGGAACAAGTCAGTCTTTTTATAATAAAATGTTATCTAATCGCTTTTCAAGTGAATAAGAAATTATTATTTTTCAACGAGGAAAAGCGAAGATATCATGATTGGTGCTTTTAAAAATTCGGAAATTTACGTTAAAGCCACAAGAAGGCTCAGCAAAAGCATTCCATTTTGTATTAATCTGACATAATTGAAAACATTCATTCCAAAATTAGTAACAAATAACGGAATCGATAATTTTACCTTGCTTTGATCAAAATTTTATTGATTTTTGACAACAGTTGACAACCATCAGGACAATGCGCATCATCTAATGAGCTCCGTATGACACTAGCACCGATTTAATGCTCATATTAATATAAACTAAGACACTTGCAAACAGAATTAATCTGAATTGTTTAAAAAATTTTCACAGAATCACAACATGAGGCTCGGCACTTCTTTTGAGATCCAAATTCATAAAATGAAATTTAAATCTTGAGAGACCGTTATAACAAAAATGCACTACAGAATTATAGACTTCAAAAAAGAAAAGCTTTATTGTGTTTTAACTATAACATTATAACCAGAGGGGGGACAAAGCAAAAATTGTTGAGAAAAAAAAAACACAAAAATGCTTACTGTGATGAAAATTCCAAGTACTCCATTTTGTATTGGAAAAAAAATTGTCGAAAAATGAAATTTCGCAATAGTTCCTTCCGATGCAGTTTATGACCGAAATTTTGATTGGAACTGATGAAAATCATGATTTTAAGACCTTTTGACATCTAAAAATTTTTACTTGGCTTCAGTTCCTTTAAATTTGACTTTTTCAATTTCGTTTGTGGAGGATTTTTGGGTTTTTTTTCTTAGCAATTTTTGTTCTGAGCCCCCCCCCCCCTCTTGATTATAACATAATCTCGATTTTTTGGTTAGCATGTACGATAGTTATAGAAATGATTAAATGTGGTTTTTATAGCCCCAAAATGTGTTGAACAATAAAGGATTCATTATGATAATTTTAAAAATTCATCAAATATATATAAAGAAATGGAAATAATTATTTTTTTATCTTATTGATTTTTTGACTTTATATTATCGACCTCGGATTTTTTTTAACGGTTGTAGAGTTTTTAAATTATTCTAGAGTAGCCGCAACGTTACAATTTATATTAATTTTTCTATGTTTGGTATGAAAAAATGCATTAGACTCCAAAAAAAAAGGTTAAGATTGTTTTTAAAATTAATTGATTCATAAAAAATAAAAATGATTAAAAATAATTATTATATTAATTTTGATGTACTAGAAAAAGTTCGTTAAACTAGTTGATTAAAAAAGCGGGAATATAGAACATATTGAAATAAAAAAATTATTCAAAAATGTATCCCTAATTGAATTCATATGAGTTCATAACATAGTTTTTGTGACAGTTTAAAATCATTTTTGCGTCATAAACTTCGTTAATTTCTAATAACGTAAATAATAAACAAACTAGTCCACTGACTTGATTTTTTCAAAGGGCAGACAAATTTTTTTTAAACAGTCTATTGTAATAAAGTAAATATTTCTGAAAATATTGATAAAAAGGATTATCATTTAAAATTATAATAAATTTTCTATCATTTTTAAGTCATGTGCTTATTAAGGAATTCAAAAGAATTTCAGTAGGAAAATAATTAATTAAAGAAGTGTGATGTAAATAAGAATCTTTCATTAATTCAAGTTAGAATCTCAAGTTATAATGAATAAACATTATTGTAAGTAACTCTTTAATTTAATTAATTTAATAAATAATCCTCAAATATGCTTCCTTTCTCATTCAAATAAAATTACAATTTAAAAAAATTTTATTGAAAATTTGAAACATAAAACTTTTTTTTATTGAAATAAAAAGACCGGATGCACATTCGTACATACAAAAGAAAAGATAAAAGAATCTGAATAAAACATATTAATTTAAAAATGATTATAACATAGTTCTAGACTATGACACTTTCATTTCCTCACGATTTGTATTAGATTTGAAACAAAAAAAAAAGTAAAAATCATTTAACTAATGACATATAATTTTTATATGGATTATTAAGCACAATTGGTGATAATTTGAAAATTCGTCAGCAGTAATCATTAAAATAATATTAATCTATTTTAATTTTAATTTTATTTATCATTTTGTGCAAATAATTTCAGACGGCTAGTTTAGTATAATAATCTACACAACAAAATATAGAAAACGGAGAAGAAAATGAAACTCAGCGATGTAAGATACAAATTAGTTGGCGATGATGGTAATTATTCATTGTATAATGAACATGATATCAATACTAAAGATATTTCATTATTTATTTTAGTTCTACCGCCAATTCGATCACATATTAATCACATGCGACGGTCAAATGTAGTAACGTTGTTTTTTGGTGTAACTCTTGGATTTTTCTTAGCTATTTTAATGCAATTCTCACCTAGCTCATTAAATTCAAATAATTATGCACCTAGACATGGTGATCCGCATGTTGGACGAGACTTACATGATGCTTTTGGTCCAGAGACAGATGTTGAATTCCATGCGAATAATGATAATACTCATATATATGAAAACTCATCAATGGCACAGCAATTGTATAAGGACATAAGAATACTTTGCTGGATTATGACAAGTCCAGCTAATCACAAGAAAAAAGCTATACATGTAAAAAAGACTTGGGGCAAAAGATGCAACAAGCTTCTGTTCATGAGTTCGGTAGTTGATCCAGAGCTCGATACTATTGCATTACCAGTGAAAGAAGGTCGTGATAATTTATGGGACAAAACAAAAGAAGCTTTTAAGTACGTTTATACTCATCATTTAGATGATATTGATTGGGTATTAAAGGCTGATGACGATACGTAAGTTATTTTCAACGTTGATTATCCTTTACAAATTTTAAGCAAATGCTTTTATTCATCAGATTCGTTGTGGTTGAGAACCTTCGATTTTTGTTATATTCATACTCATCTAGTCAACCCATATACTTTGGTTGTCGGTTCAAACCTTATGTTAAGCAAGTATGAATTTTGTTTGTTTACTTATATTTTAAGATTCTACAGTAATTTTCCTTTTTTTACAATATCAATTGACTTGGAACTTGCTTTTGCTGATCTAACAGGGGTAAGAAATTTTAATTGAGTGTTTAAAGAATTTTGTAAAGCTTTAGTTGAACCCTACAATAAAATAGGGTCAAAAAGAGTTGAGTTGAATCAACTAGACTCGAATATATCAGACTAAGGTCGATTAAAGTTGACATGAGTCAAATTTAGTCCTTTAGAGTCGAAAAAAGTTGACTACAGTCGAGTAAAGTAGACTCGACTAGAGTTAAATTTTCAAATTTAATCAACTTCAAGATCTGCTTTTTAGGAATGTTGCTTAATTTTCTTTTTATAAATTAATCACTTTAGCTATATGTCTGGCGGGGCTAGCTACGTTCTTAGCAAGCAGGCCGTTATTCGTTTTGTTGAGGAAGGAATTCCAGATAAAACTAAATGTAGGCAAGATGCAGGTGGAGCGGAAGATGTTGAAATTGGAAAATGTCTCGAAAATGTGAATGTGATTGCTGGTGATTCAAGAGATTCTAATGGTCGTGGAAGATTTTTTCCATTCATGCCAGAACATCATTTAATTCCAGGCCATGTTGATAAAAATTTTTGGTATTGGAAGTATATTTATTATGATGAAAAAGAAGGAATGGATTGTTGTTCGGATTATGCCATCTCTTTCCATTACGTGTCGCCAAATCAAATGTACGTACTTGAATATCTCATCTATCATTTGAGGCCGTATGGTCTTGTAAATTTTCATCAACCACTGCCTAAAAAAAGTATTGTAACCGAAATTTTACAAGAAATGTCGGAACAACCCAAAAGTAAAAACAATGAGAATGAGTAAAATCGCCTTTTTGAACTTTAAAAATCATGTGAAAAGTCTGACAGAAGTGGATGAAAACTCGAATATTTGGATTTTTCGTTTTAATCATGATGTGTTATAGCAACTCAGCCATATAAAAAAAAATCCTCTTCTAATATGTGTGTAATCTCATTTTATTAAAATAATTGATTAAAATTTAAAACCAAAGAAAATTGTTTACTTTCTACATTCTTTAAATAGTTTAAGATATTAAACAAAAATAAAATCACAATAATTTAAAAATCTGAAAGTTAAAGTTTTTTTAATCAAATAATTTGTATACAGTGTTGATCCCTAGCATTTCAGTTTAAAAAAGTAGACCTAAGCGTAGGCAATTTGAAGTCTTTGTCAAAGGTAATTTTTTCGCATTTGCCTTTTTTGTGCCTTTGCAAAGGCATGAGTTTGCTAGATCAAAGGCAAAGGCAACTTTGTATCAACACTGTTTGTATTTTTGTTGTGGTAATAGGAATTGGGGTATTTTAGTAATTAGCAGAGGCTTGTCAAGGAAGCTTAATTTGGTTTGTTTCGACAAAAATATTTGCTTGGGGTTTTTAAGAAACAATTGAAAAATCTCTAGCGTTGCACCCAGGACTAAGCTAAAATCCATGTTTCGTTAAAAAGTAAATTCTTTGATTTAATAAAGTCAAATTAAGGATAATTTCCAGATAAAAAAATCATTTTGTCCAAAATGTTGAAAATTTCAAAATTAATATAAAATTGATGACACAAAGGAAAGACATTATCATCAAATGGTAAGAAAAGTTAAATATTAAATCACAACATTTGAATCTTGCGCCCAAATTGAATTTTTTTAATGGTTTGCATTCTGAAGAAATAATTTAAAAGCATTTTAAATAATGCAACAATATAAATAAATTTTATCAAATATTTTAACTAAGGGGGAGGAGTTCAAACAGCTCAAACAAAGGAAAATTAAATTTATGCAAAATTTGTAACAAGAGGGTGGGGGGGGGGGGGAATATTATGATAAAAAAAATCATTTTTTTGCATAATGTAATAAGCAAATGAAACCAAAAGAAATATGAACAACCAATACTTGGGGTGGGTGATTAAATCAAATACACGTGATAACTGTGTGAATATATAAAATTAATGTTTAAAAAACCTCTTCTTTCCAAAAAAGAAATTATAGTTAATTCAAAAGAACACTTCTGCATGTGTGACTTTATAAAAAAATTTTACTCCATTTCGTTTGATGTTTGAGATCATTATAACAAAGGATAAATTGTTCAAGGTATTTTAGATGCATTTTATCATATTAGTTATCTTCTAATGAAACAAAGAGTAACCATCATTTTCATAAATTGCTTTTGTGTGAAAAGGTTCCAAGGGAAAATAACTTTAAGTGAAATTTTCTAAACCATTTGAAAATGAACAAGATAAAAAAAGGAAGATTTAAATTTCAATAACTTCTGAATATTCGGTTACTAGTTATTCTTAAAAATAAATAATACCAACTATTAGTAATACAAAAGAGAAAATAATTTATCTTTAAAGAAACAAAGCATAAGAGGCATTAAGTTGGAAATGAATGCATAAAATGAATCAGCAAAAAAAAAGTGTAACACTACACAAAGAACATACAGAAATATGAATATGAAAGCGATTAGTAAGGATATTATGCTTATGCTTTTGAAAACCGACTTCTTTGTATTCTACATTCATATGCCTTTGCCTTCATTCATCACAAACATTTTATTATTTGGATGTGAACATAAAAATTATGATCATTAGAGTCATTTACATACTCAGAAGCTTTTTTCTTCTTCTTATTTTTTAGTTTCATTATTTTTGTCGAGAATAACAAATGAATTGATGTTAGGAAATAGTATATTCTCCTCTTGATGAAATTTTTTCTTGAAAAGTTCAATCTGAAAATGCTAAATTATTTATTTAAAAAACATTTTAATTTTTTTGATGATATTTTAATCTTATATTATTAAGCACCAATCTTTCTTATCTTTTTAAATTTGTGACATTTAAATTTTTTAAAATTATTCCTGAAGACTATTAATAAGATTCTCTGTAAGTTAATATATATTTTAAAATTATCCATTACGGTTGCTGTTGCATGAGCAATTATTGACTGGGCTGCATGGAACACTACAAAATAAAATTATAAAAAATTAAATTAAAATTTATGTAACTGTCATTGCATCTGCAATTGACTTACCATGGCCACCTTTTAGAATTGAAGAAAATAAATAAAAATATCAATAATTGAATAATTTTTTAAATATGCAAGCATTAATCATCAGTACTTACCAAATGCATGGTGGACAAGGACAAGAACAGTTGTTGTTATCATCATCTGGAGGGTTTGGACTTGGATTAGGTGGTGATGGTGTTGGAACTGAAGGAACCTCATCTCCGCCACAATCCTAAGCGATTAATATAATTATAATAATAAGCAAAATATAATTAAATTAATTCGTTTTTATTTACCGGACACCAAGGTTTACATTCCCTATAAGATAATAAAAAAATAAAATTTTGATCATTTCGTCAACTTACAAATTTAAACAACTTACGTTACTGTTGGTGGATTTTGCCAGTTGCAAATAGGAGACCATGATCTATCATACCAGAAAGTACATCTGGGTGGATTTTCATTGGGATTAAAAACAGTACTACAGGCACATGGTCTTGCTGCAGCAGCCCAATGAGTTGCGTTTAATGGAGCACATTGCCAATAGAAATTAGGATCAGAATGAGCAAATAAAGCATCATCACGATGACGATTTTCTAGAATACTACAATCTGGTACACCACAAGGAACTTGAGGCAATACTGGGGGTGGGCAGTTATTGTTTGGACACTGTCCAGAAGCTACTGCTATAAAGCAGGCAAATGCTAAAATTAAATCTAATATTTTTTTTGCTTAGTTTGAAGCTATTGAATTATAATTTTTTTACTTACTATTCATCAATATATTTGCACTTTAACGACTGATTTCTGGAACTTAATAGTTATGACATTCACATCAGCAATAGTTTTTATAGTAAAAAATAAACTAATGCGGAATAAGTAAGATAAGAAATTACTATGAATGATAACTTCTATTATTTTTTAAACAATAACATGATCATAGATAAAATATTGAATTCTTAGATTCATATGACTATTTCCGTAAAATGATATGTTGCTTAAAACTACATTTGGACAGTCAAGAATTGTATTTTGGTGTTTCAAAACGTTCTGAAGTTGTCTGAAAAATGTTTGTGGTTTTAAATGATTTTTTTGATTTGATGAATTTTATTGAGAATAAGAAAAGCATTTAATAGCATAGGATTTGTTCTTCTTAATCCTTCATCTTATTTCAACGTCTTGATACTGTATATATATTTTTTATGCTTGCGTTTCTGCTTACTGAGGAGCGTTTTATTATAAAACTAATATTGGAACACATAAATCAGTAAAGTGATGATACAAGGCAAATCATTTTTGTAGTGAATGTGATTGATTTTTTTTTTCTTCATTGGTCCACTTTTTGTGTTTAAGATAAAGCTGAGGAAATATTAATAATTTAGTTTTATAGTGTATTTTGATGAATTATTACTGTCCTCTGTGATGGTTGAAATCTGGCAATTTTATTAGGAAATTTAGGATATCCTCGAAGGTCAGACAATATCATGAAATTGCTATTTTACCGATGAACTTGTTTCAAAAAAGATAGCAATTTGAAAATCTAGCATATTAACCAAGGTAGATGAAATGATCAAAAATGATCGAAAATGATCAAAAAAAATATCAAAATTGATCAAAAATGATCAAAATTGATCAGAAATGATCAAAATGTAAATATCCAGTTCCACACCCTTGATATTAACCAAATATTAACTTAAAATAAGACTTGAATATTTATCATTAATCTGAAAAGTGAATTAAGTTTAAATTGATAAAAATTTCAAAAAGTTTATTTCTATTTGTAAAAATCTTAAAACAAATAAGTCCCGGGAAATCGAGAAACTCTATCAAGTAATTTGCAACTTTGTTGTTTAATTAGCAAGTTTTCTAATTGCAATTGCAGCAAATGAATCAGCATTGCATTGAAATACTCTTTTTTTTCTATCTCATACACTTATTTTATGCTGCTTTGTGTCCCATAAGTATAGTAATAAATATTAAAAACGAGAGAAAAGAGCTTCATAATTATCATGTAATCTTGTATTGTATAATGCAGCGAGATTATCACACAAACATTACATTCGCATTTGTAAATTCCTTTAGGATATTAAAAGAAACAATAATGTTAACAATAATGAGAATTTCAGACGGTTTATATATACAGAAAGATTCAAGCACAACGAGAGTATGAATGCAAACTATTCATTATACATTCCAATAAATTTAAGCTCCCAACTCACAAGGGAAATGTCCAGTAAACATTTTACTTGACTGTCGAGTTTTCTGCAAAAAATAAAAAAAACATTTTTAAAAACATTTACTAGTCCCATTGGAAAGTATCTTGCCTGATAGAATTTAAAATTCAATGAATACAAAAAGCACAGTTTTATCTTATTCCATTTTGTTTATTTGATAAATTTTAATTCCAACAGTTTTTGAATATTTTAAGTTTTCATTTATTTTCCATTTTATTTTTGAAAAGCTTTCATCAATATTGAGATAGGATATAAAAGAAAGTCATTATCATTATTATAGGGATTATTGACATTTTACAATTCATAAAAAGGTTGAAAAAACAACCTTCAAAACTTTAGAATTTTTAAAAGTTAAATTAAAGTTTTTGATGAGAATAGATTTCTTTAATTCCAGCACAATTTTCCTCAGAATTGTTTTATAGAAAAACTTAAGTATTGTTGCTAATAGAACGTAATAAAAATCATAAAAAGGAAAGAATCCTTCTCACGTCTGTGTTAATTAAGAAATTTTATGCATGGCTAATTATGGAAAAAAGGCAAGCAAGTAATTGGGCTGATAACGGAAAGAGAGAAAGAAAAAAAAATGAGAGACGTTTTATGATGAAAAATACTAAAGAAAAAAAAGGGTATAAAGTACAAGATGGGATTGAATTCTCCAAAAGCATCAATAGAATGAAAACTTTTGTGTCCTTACAAAAATATTACTTCTGCTTATTTTTTGCTTTTTGCGCTAAACCAAATTAAAATGACAATTTTTTTAAAAAACCATTTTTTGTTCGAGAACTTTTGAATTTTTTTGATTTCAGCAAAAACTGGCCCAAAATTTAAAAAATATTTGTTTCAAAGAATTAAAACTTTCAAAAATTAAAGATTAAAATTTGAGATTTCAGCTGAAGGCACTGCGATTCAATTTGTTGAGAATCAACAGTTAGGTCAAAACATTTTTTGTTGACCATTTTTCATACCAGTACCTTGTATTGGTTCCTTATCTTTAATGTTTTACTAGCCTTACTAGCCTTACTAGTTAAAAATGCATTCCTTATCTTTGTATAAAACCTCCATGTTGACCGAAATTTCATTTAGTATTATTTTTACTTTTTGTGGACGAGGCAATTAAGACACAAAATAATGAAGTGTAGGTTTGCTTTTACCAAATGAATCAACATTCAATTAATTTAAAATTCTTTATTAGATCTTACAATAGCATCGATTTTATTAGTATCTTTTGATGTAATTCGGTCATTTCCCAATAAACTTCCTGAACCAGTAGTTCCTCTCAATTGTGAACTTCCGGATTGCACTATTCTTTCAAATCGTTACCATGGCAATGCGCTATTTCCACATCCGAATCCTGAAATGTAAATCTAAGTTTTTTTTTTTATTTTTTTTATATTTTAAATTTAAAATTTAAATTCCAGGTACTATCAATGTGTTCCATATGATGTGAACAACTGGTATCCAATGGAACGTTATTGTATTTGTGGAACTGTCTTCAATCCAAAACTTGCAAGGTGTAGTTTTTGGTGGGGAGAAGACTGGGAGCCAATATGTGATTGGGAAATGCCACCCAGTTTCACGTAAGTTGATTTTCAAGATTTTAAAATCAAATTTTAATTTTTTAAAATTTTTCATGTAGTCCCTGTGATGAACCACACAAAGATAAATGGGTCGAATTTTGGTGGAATTAAATTATCAACTCAGAATAAATAAATAAAGATATTTTTGTAATATGAAGAGAAATTATATTTTTTGAATAAAACATTTTGAAAACTTATAATGCAATTTTCAAACATTATTTCTTTAATTTTTGATAACTTCTTGATTTACTTTCTTGGGTTATTTAATTTGTGTTTTAGCTTTAAACTTCTGTTTATCTTAAAAAAATCTCGTTGGTCACGATTGGGTCATTTCGTCGGGAATGCGTTGATTATTTCCAATTAATTTTAAATGTCAAAAAATGAATTGTTTTATTAAATTTTAAAATTTGAAAAAAATCTTTCCAAATTTTTCTCATAAATCTTAATTTTTTTGAAGTTTATTCTGGTTTTTACACATTTGTTTCATTTTAAAAAATCACACAAACATCTTTTGTCGGCATTTAATTTAATTAACCAAAAAATGTTAAATGCATTTTAACAGACAATTTAATTTTTTGCAAGGAAACTTTGGTACCGACAAATTAATTTGTCACAATTTATTAATTTATTTTCTTGTTCTTTCTTTCAAACCTAAAACAATACTACATCATAATTGCATTAAGGTAAATAAAAAAATCGCGTTGATCTTATCAATGAAAAATTCCTAATAAAAACATTTCCGAGAAATTTTCAATGCTTCGACTCAGTATTGTGACTGAGTTTTTTCTATAAAGACATAAACCAGCTTCAATATATTGGCTGTTATTATTCCTCAAAAAAGTAGAACTAACGGCTGAATGGATTATCAATATGGCCTGCAAGTAAATATTAATTGATAATATTTTAAATTGTTTTTTTTAAATTGTTCTAATCTTAGAAACTTAAATAAGGTTGTAGCAGCATTATTAATTCTGTTTTGCACATCCGGAACTACAAATTCCTTTGAGTTAACCTGCGAGTATCATGACTTTGTAGGATATGGTTATGGATGTATAGTTCTTGAAGGATCTATTCAAAATGAGAATGAATCTACAGTAACAGATATAATCGGCGATCATCTTGAAAACAAAACTCTTAAAGACGTTTCTTGGGTGTCTGTGGAATCTAAAACATTTCAATTTTTCCCAAAAGGACTTCCAAAATTCTTTCCAAAAATCGATACATTATTTGTGGTGAAATCAAATCTTCAAAAAATTGGCAAAGACGACCTTGTAGGTTTAAATAAGTTGGAAAATTTATATTTAGATGATAACTCTATTGAGTACGTAGATGCACATGCTTTTGATAAACTTTCACGTCTTCGTACTTTATCATTCAAACAAAACACATGTCATAATGCGTCGGCACATTTTGATCGCGATAAGGTTAAGAATGTGATTGTAGAAGTTGTATCAAAATGTTCAAAAGTGAAGGAAGATGAAAAAATTGAGGAAATACCAGAAACACAAGAAAAAGAACAAGAACAAGAACAATTAAAGGAAGAGGAAGTAGAGGCTTCTACAAAGTTCATAAAAGTTGAGGAAATCGTCACAACTGAAGAAGTAAAAAATGAGCCAAAAGAAGAAAATTACAATTCAAATATTTTACTGGAAGAATTACAAGCTGAATTAGAAACTACAAAACAACTTAATACCAAACTTTTGTTGGACATTGGAAAGCTTAAAGCTAGTAATGATAAAATTCTTGACGAAAATAACAAATTTAAAATCAAATTGGAAAGATGCGATGACAATACGAATATTTTAACTGAAAATATTAACTTGAGAAGTGAATTGACTAAACGAAATAAGGAAATGGCAAATCTTAAAGCTGATAATGCCAATTTAAATTCTCGAGTCATTAGGTGCGATACTGACAGTTCAGCTCTTAAATTTCAATTTGCAACACAAAAGTCAGAGAATTCTAACCTGAAAATTAAGGTTACACAATGTGAAACTCAAGCTGCTAATTCATTACTTGAAATTGAGAACCTCAAGAATGGATCATCAAAGTGTAAAACTCAAAGTAAGGAAGATGAGGAAAAATTGGAACTATTCAAATTGGAAATATTTAATTGTAAAAATGATCAATTAGATTTACAAGAAGAAATCAATAATTTGAAATCATCATCATCTGACTGCAATGATTCAGATTCGGAATTGGAAATTGAAAATATCAGCAACAAACTTAATAATTGTGAAGTTGGGTTGACAGAACAAAAGCTTGAAAATCTATCGCATAAATCTGAAATTTATAATTTAAGATCATCCAATTCAAAATGTGAATCAGAAAAATCAGATTTAAAAAAAGAAAGCAAAAATAAGATTGATGAACTTACAAAAGCTAATGCTGAATGTTCTGATTTAGTCGCTGAAAAATCAAATGCTTTGTCAGTTAAATTAGACCTTGAAACTCAAATTAATAAATTGACTAACGAACATGATGTTTTGAAAAATGAATTGAATAAATGCACAACAAGTCATTCAAGTTGTATGTCAGAAAGTGAAAATCATAAAAACAGTGCATCCAGTAGCAATGTTCAGTTAGCAAACTTGATTAAGGAGAACAAAACATTTAAAAAATATATTGGAAACTTAGAAATTCAGTTATCAACAACAAAATCAGAGCAAGAAAATCTTAAAAATGAGTTGTCAAGTCAATCAACAACATTAATGAAATGTAAAAGTGAAAATGAAAATTGTCAACTTTCCATTTCTAATTGTGAGGAACAAACGACAAACATGTTGAATGAAAATTTGAATTTAAGAGCTTCTGTTTCCAATTGTAATTCATCAGTAATATCTCTAATGGCTGAAATTGAAAATCTTAAAAATGGTGTCTCAAGTCACAGTTCAGAAGTCACAAACTTAATGATGGAAACTCAAAATTTGAGGAAATATGTTACAAATATGGAAATTCAGCTATCATCCTTTACACATGAGAATGACAATCTTAAAAATGACTTAAAAAATCATGTCCTTACCATTTCTAATTGCAAATCTGAAACAGAAAATTTGAAACATTCATTGTCTGAATTTGAAGATCAGTTGACACTAACTTATGTCGAATTTTCACTATTAAGGTCATCAGCAAGTAATTGCAATTCTACTCTCTCAAATCTTCAGTTTGAAAATGAAAACCTTAAAGCTAGTAATTCAAATTGTGAAAACAAATTTTCATATTTACTTGAAGAAAATGAAAATTGGAAAGATTTTGGTTCAAAGATCGAACTTCAAATTTCATCAATTATGATGGAAAATGAGGACTTGAAAGCAAAGGTTGCAAAATGCGATACAGTTTCAACTAAATCGAATGATGGTGAACAATATTTAGCCAGATTAATGAAATGTGATGCAGCAGTTACTCGAATTCTTGATGAAAATGACGAATTGGCAGATAAAGTCTTAAAATGTGACTCGGAACTATCGAGCATTTATACAGATTTCTGGAAATTACAAAATGCGAAAGAAATGTTGAAAGATAACTTGTTGAAAGCCGAAGCATCGTTTGATAAATGTTCAAACAATTTGTTATGGTGTACGTACACGTATTGTGGAAAGTATCAGATTCATTAATATGTTGAATAAAGGAAATTTTTTATGCAAATTTAAAGCTAGCGTTCATTTAAAGGTGAAATTTTTCCTTTCTTTTTTTTCTCTTTATCTTTCATTCTTACATAAACTACGTGACATTTGCATTATAAACGTGCCTCTTTCACATTTCTCGTATGGAATGATTTGAAAGTAAATACAAACGGAAAGAAATTTTTCAATTCAAATATCGTACCAACTTGTCAGTGTGCATCCGACCAAGACTTATCACAGACTTACAAAGCATCAGTGGGTAAAATAATGAAGCTTGAAAATGGATAGTTCGGCGATATAAATTTTTAACACTTTTAATGGTTTTTGAATTTTTGAATTTTTAAATTGTTTTGAATTTTTTTAAAGTTTTTAAATTTATTAAATTTTTGAAATTATTTTTAAATAATTTTTAAATAGAATTTATTTTTAAAATCTTAATGTCCTCTAAAGTATTTAATTTTATCCTTGCTAAGGATGGAGTAATGCCATTTTTTCTGAAAAATTCATGCAAATTGAAAAATAAACAAAATTTAAATATCATTTATCTCTTTTATTTCTCTTTTTTTCTTCATCCATTTTAGCTTATGTTTTTGTCAATTATAAATTAAATTAAATTTACATTATGATTTAATTCTAAATGCAGTTTAAAAAAAGCATAAACATATTCAAAAACATTTCTTTTTCATGATGTTTTGAAGATCACTCACTTATTATGTTCACAATTTAAGGGCGAGGGGGGAATCTTAGCTGTACGACACCTTTGGAGCAACACAAATTGTATTTAAAAATTGAATGCGTTTTGAGGCTGATTTTTAAGGCTCTCATGGTCACATACTACAAAATGAAGTACATGTATGCTTGATCCTAGATAGCCTTAAAAATCAGCTCCTGAAGAAGTAAGTGAGTGATGCTATTAATGAATAACACAATCATAAATTATCTTTTGTAACCAATTAAGTCTTGCATGTGAGTTTTTGATGTTTAGTTTTTTATTTCAAAATTTACTAAATATTTCCATCTTTTTTGCTCTGTATATAAATGTTTCTTTAAAATTTTAGACGAAGTTTTTTCTCTCATGATTTTTTTTACACTTAATTAATGCAGATAATTTTAATAATTACATTCTTCATTTTTTTTTCTTCTTTGCTTTATGTAAACAATCGTCTTATGATTTAATTTGTATACCTAAATTTAATTATATTAATACCAAATATGGACTTTATTTACATTTTTTTTCTTCATATATTTAATCTAAAAACGATTGCAAATTTATAAAAATAAACAATAAATGTTGAAAATCTTTGTTTTAAAATTAAGAAGTTTAGAATTGAATCTATTAAACTTTGAAATATTAGGAATTTTATGAATAATAAATTAATAGTTTTAAAATTTTCGAATGGGACCGAGATTTTGTGAAACTTTACAGTTTTTAAAATTTATTGATTCTTGAATTTAAAAGTTTAATTTTGTGTTTGTGATGAAATAACAAGTTTATAGTTTGTAACTTCGATAGAATTTCAACCCGATGTAAATTTATGATTTAAAATAGTAGGCACGACTTAAAAAGAATGAGAAGAAAAGCTTGTTAGATCTTATTAAAATCAAACTCCAAATGTATTCTGAAATAAGCTTAAATAAATCTCTATTAGTCATATTTTGTTCAATTTTGGATAACATCAAAAATAATTATCATCAAAAAGGAATGAAGTCATAGAATAAAACTTGAGTTAATATATTTTAAATCATACTTTATTTTATAGTTCTATAATATCAGCTAATGTTAAGACCTTGATGAAACCTCATAATTTCTGTTTATTTTATTTTGTTGCAATTTACTTTAATTTATATTGTATATACAAGATGAATGCAACACGATTGTTTCTTACCATTTTCTTGATTATTTTGGCCCCTTTAAAGCACAATTACACACATCATTAAATGCATAGTAAATATCTGAATAAATTTTGTAAATCTAAACGTTTCTAAATAAAATGAGTAAACATTTTCCGTGCATTTTTGTTCTTTCTTTAATTAAATTTGGCTTCATGACATGATTGTAATTTACTAATTTTACTTTAATCACATAAATGATGCCCAAATGATAATTTTTGTTGCTTATATTAGAAAATAAATTATATTGTATGCTTCATAAAGTTGAAGATTCGTAAAAAAATTATTAAATGTCTTCAGCTAATGTTTTGGTTTAAATGAAATTTAAATAAAAATTGATTATTTTAAAAATATGTTTGTTGATAATTTGAATGAATGAATTAAATTGTTAAGAAATTTAACAAAAATGTTTTAAATTTGATAGTTTTAACTATTGAGAATTAAAGAATTTTTTAAAAATTTTCTGAAATGTTCAAATAATTTTTTTTCGGGAATTTGAAATTCAAACAAATCTAGTTTGATCTACCGTCATTTTTTTTACAAAATTAAGGAAACTGTTGTCTAAGAAAAAATAATAATATTTCAATAATCAATAAAAGAAAAACCTACTCACAACACACTAAGTACAGAAATATGAATATTTACTTTTTTGGTTATCATATTTTTGCTGATTTAGTTTTTATTTCATTGATAAGCTCAGAAAACAGTGCCTTCATAGTTTGATTGTGGTTTCAACCGAGGATCTCCATCACTTTAGTCAATCAATTCACAAAAATAACTATTCAAGCAGTAGCTCCTATTAGTATGAGTAACAATAAAAATACATTTACACTACTCATTAAACTTCATTCTAATTCATGTTTTCGTCTTCTTCGAGAGTTTTTGATTATAGCAAGTGTGTGGAATTGATCGAAATGACCAAAAATTATCATTTTAAATCATTAAAAACAGTTCCACACACTTGAATCATCGTTTATTTCTTCATGATTTATATATCTTTATTTACAAAGTAGTATATTACTTTAGTTTATACTCATAATAATCGAAATTCAAAAAGATACATTTAATGATTCCTAATATTATTGCATGTTATAAATTTTAATATTTGTTCATTTAAGGGTGACAAAACATGCTCAAGTCGTCGTATAAAATCTGATTAAGCTTATATCATTTAATTTTAAATTTTATATACATTAAATCCTAATATTATAATCTAGTCAAGTAATTTTCTTTAAATATATTTCACATCGAATATAAAATACCATCATTTTCTCGTTAATTTGTTTTCATTTTTTTTTTTCATTTTTTGTAACTTACTTTTATGTCCAAAAATAATATATATTTATATTCATTTTATATCATTTTCCTAAGACGTATCAAAAAATATTTAGAGCAGAAAACTAGGTTGTCAGTTTTTGATTTTAAAAAATGTTTATAAGGAGTAAGAGGGTCTTGGTTTTACATTAGTAATTTCTTTAAAATACATTGATAACCTAGAAATTTAGTGAATTCAATTTTATAAAAGTTTTATAAGCCTTATGAGAGTAGGAAGTGCTGCCAAATATAAATATACAGTAGGATGAATTCTTGATGTATGGCTATAATATGTGACACTTAGTCCTCGCATCTCGGAATCTATAAAGGGTAGAAAAAAATTAAAATTAAATTTTTTCTAAAGTCAGAAATTATAAAGAGCTCAAATATGCAAAAAAATTATTTATTAAACTTTGAAAAATTATAAACTGTTTTTTTATAAACAAACTTAATCTTGTGTAATAAAAATTTACATGCTTAAAAAGACCAAAAAAAATTATTTAAAAGATGGTTCAAAAGAATTTTTATTTGCATAAGAAAATAAGAGAATGAAAACTAACCTGAGAGACCATGATTTAAAAATGAGCCTATATCGGTTAAGTCTGCATTGGTAATGCATGAACAAATGAAAAAGAAAAAAATAGATAAATAATACCGATTATTAACTATTAAAAGTGATCACAAAATAATACGGTGAGATTTTTGAAAAATTAATTTCCTTTGTAAATTCATGATTAGACTGGATTTTAAACATTTTGAATTTAGAAAAAAAATATTTTTTTTTTGAATTTAAAAATCAGATCAAAAAATCCAAAACTTTATATAATTGTGAATTTACTGTGAAAAAGCAAACAAAAATTGAAAGAGAACACATAAGTGAATACAAAAAAGAACAAAAGAAGCAACGACAGTACTTGTTCATTGCAACATGTTATTTTTAATAAATTCAACATTACAATAATTGATTAAATTTGTGCATCATTTAAACAAAAAAATCAACATGTACACTTTAGCAATATAGACACAAACATCAAATAAGGTGGCACAGTGGCTTAGCCAAGGGGTATTTTAAGGATCAGATTCCACCACCACCCAAATAATACTTCGATTTACCAGAAATTTTCTAGAAAAAATCTAACCCCTTCCCCCTTCACCCACTCATAAGATTTTTTTTTTCTTTAAAATATTCGAGGCTGTGCCGCTAACAAGGTACAAAAAATGGCAAAAAGTTATTTGAAGTTAAAGTTTTAATTCATAATGATTGTCTTTAAAAATCTCAAAAAAAAACTTTCATAAAGTCATAATCAGCTTGAAATTAAAAATAAGATGGAGATCTATAATGATAAAAAAAATCGGTTTAAAAAAAATTGCTCATTTTCTCTCAGTTCATAAATCTTAACTAAAGTGCTCAGAACATTAATTCTCATACTAAAATGAAACTAGACTAAATAAAGAGTATAATGCATTCAACATTAACCAAGAGAGGAAGGAATGTTATACACAAGCATCATAAAAACAGTTTTATAGCCAATCTAAAGTAATTTTAAAACTACAAAATAGTACAGTTAAACACTTACCATTTGATGATGTGCTGAATGTAAATCTTTCAGACACTTCACTCCATCCATAGCGATTTCTATTAGTTAAAAGGAAAATGTTCAGAGAATGGTTGAATTTTAATCGCTCTTTAAATATTTTTATTATTTTATAGAACAGACCTTGCTTGAACTTTCGCCTCATATTGCTGATCCGGCTCGAGGCCTCGTATCATATAACTCATACTTTGTGTGTAAAGATGTGATAATGGTATAGCAGGTAGAACGACATCACGCCAGTCATTACGTGACCAATGCAGATTCGCATAATTATTTCGGTAATTTGGATATATGCTATTACTATGGCCATGACTTTGATGCTGCAATGGTTGTGATTGCTGCTCAATATTGTTGTCGAGTTCATGCTCTTCTGAGGAACGCCGGAAGAATAATTTGTATTCTTCGATAGGTGAATGAGAGTCAACAGTCCATGATATATTATATCTGTAAAGGATTAAAGCGTTACAAAATATTTAAAGATTTTGGATTTTTAGATTTGAATTCGATGTAAAGCTCGGAACCGAGACTCAAAACCTTCGATCCTTCAGAAACTTTAATGTTTTTCATCAAGACGTGTTTTCTTATTTTGAAAAAAAAAATGCCAGCACAAATTTAATTATATATTTAGCAAGCCATAAAATTTTACCCAAAAGACACGTCATTTGATGCCGTAAAAAATTACGATGCTGTAAACTCACCTGTCTTTATACTGACTAATTGGAGCAGAACGAAAAATGGCCGTGTTTGGTTTGCCAGAAAGTTGAAGGTACTTTTTGCTCTTTCCTAACTGATTTTCAGCATTACAACTATAATTGCCAAAGTCTTGTGGATGAACCTTTCGGATAATTAGCGTGTGACGTGATCCACGATTCTCCATTATGTGTCGTTCTGTGGTATCGAGTTGCATTGTGTCACGGAACCAAATAACCTGCGAATAATGAGAAAGGAGAGGAATGAATAATGAAAACTCCAGAAGTAACTCAATTATATGCTTTATAGATAGGGGACTATTAACATATTACGTCAGCTTCACTTTTTTGAGGGGATATTAAGAAGTTGATGAAAAGAGTCTTGTATTTTGAAGCGAGTCGAGTCAAAGAAAATTGTAATTTTTCGAAAGGATAGAACAAGACAAAGAAATTAAAGTACATTTGTTAAACAGCATTACTCATTTGCATTAAGAACAAGCAGCAAAATCATAGAAAAAATTCTTGAACATGTAAAAATTTATAAAATTTCATTTTACAGATAAACCACCTGTTACTGTAGATTATTTTCCTCTCATACCATCACATTGACGTTGCTTCAAAAAAAAAAATTCATATAATTTTAATCTCATTCTACCGTAGCTACCCTCCATTTTCATCATTGTAAAATTTGTTGTAAAGAGGATAAAAAAACAAACCAAAATGGAATTTTGCGTCATTTTACAAGTGAAAGTACTCTCATTCTGTATGACTTTTATTATCATTATCTCTACTGATCTTCTTTGTATTCGTCACTGAAGAGGGTATAAGAGATGGTTATAATATTCTTTATGAAACACCTCGCAGAGCTAGACATCAAAAAGTAATGAGATAATGCTGCCACTGATGCGATTGTAATGCGTAATGGGAAATGAAAAAAAAGTAAATTACGATGCTGATGGTTTTTTAAAAAGGAACGAAAGTCTTCATTTTTTGAAATAATTGTCAATTTGATTGTCTTTACTTATTTTTAATAACTTTATCTAGCAAAAAAAATATTTGTTGTAATTTTTATATTTACTTCATTTTTGTTTACCTCTGGTTGAGCTTCTCCATGCACAATACATACTAGCATGGCTTCTTGACCTTCTCCTGAATATACTACTGGACTTTCAACCTAAAGATTTAAGTTTGAGAAATTAGAAAATTTATTTTTCATCATTGAAATATTTTAACTTACTTGAATTTCAGGTGGATCTGTGGTAAAGAAGTAGAAATAAATAAGAAATTAATAAATTAAATTTTGGACACAAAACCTAATTTTTTAATATTTCTATGATTATTGATTGACATTTTTATTTAAGAATTACTTTATAAATTATTAGGCTGAATAGCATTCTTTAGAGATGCTTATCACACACATAAAAGTAAAAACGCACATAAAAGTTTTTCTATTTTTTTTGGGATAACTTAATAATGTTGCGTGACTGCTCTTCATAAATTATATTTCACCATAAAAATTGAAATATACCTTTCACACAAAATATGAAATAGAGTTCTTTTTTTTTTTGCTTTAACTTTTTATGGCCCTCTTTTTACTTCTTTATGGAGACGTTTGACTTTATCAATAGTTTTCCTAATTTTCTTTATTTTATTTTCCCGCCATTTTTGCGTTTTTCTTATTTTGACTTTTTCTTAAAGAATGAACTTTAATTATGTTTTACTTCGCACTAGTATTTTAAATTTGGAAAGATTAATTTTAAATTATAATGATTAAGACATAAGAAAATTATTTTGGATTAAAACATCCTTCAAAAACCTTTTTTTGCCTCCCACAAAAAATAATAAAAGTGTAATAAAAATCACTTCTCTCTGTCATTCATATCTTTATCTACTTTCATCAGTAGTTTCTTATGATAAACGATTTCTCTCATCATCCAGTGCTGAACAACAAAAAAGAAATATATGGATGATGAAAAATTAGATCCATTTAAGGTGGGAAGAAAGTAAAAAGGTCAAACATTTATAGCGCCAAAAAACTTTTTTTTCTTCTTTTTTATGATGATTATGATAAACTGTCAACGTGGGGAAGTGATTATTTGTCATAAGGCATACACAGAAGCGTTAAAAGCGGTATAAGAAAAAAGGAAAAAAAATATGAATGAGCAAAATGGAAGTGCCTTTTTGGCTTATCATGATTTTCAATTTACGTTGATAAATTTAGTTGTTGACTTGAACAAAAAATATTAATGGACGTGATAAATATTTTTTCTTAATTTTGCTTAACCTCAAAAATAATTATTTTTCAAATTTAGAGAAAAACACACAAAAATTCACCACATTAGATTTTGAAGCATTATGTTAAACAAACATTGTCAGGCCATCCTTTATTTCTCTTTTTTACATAACTAGGACAGCAGCATCATCATGAAAATTCTTTTATTATTATTGCTATTTCCCTCTTGACATTAATCTGAAGATTCCAAACTAATTCGCTTCACTTTTTTTCATCATCATCACCATCATCATCAAGCTGACTACTGTTGTTACTAAATACTAATTTTCCATTAAATTTTGCACAACATATGTTACATACAAAAATATTTTTCATATCTAGATCATGATGATATAAAGGAAGTGAGGGAAAGAGAGCAACATAAATGTGAGTCTTCAACAAGGTCGAAGCTAATTCGAATGGTATGGTACAGTAAGTGTGTGTATATGGAAATAAACAGGAAACTTTTCGTTGAACTAAATTCATGACTGTAGCCAGAGGGGTGCTTTGGATTTTGCTCTAATTTGTAAGTTCATAAGTTGTGGACCTACGAAAATATTGAGTTTGGGAACAAAAACTATAGGCAAGAGGGGGGGAGGGGGTCTCCATCACTGTCTAAATCATTAATATTTTAATAAACATCTACATCAACAATTATATTTACATAAAGGCATGTACGATAAGAAACATATTTGTATATTTCCAACGAAAATAGTAGTTCTATGGTAATTTAATTTTTTTTTCTCAAATTCAACTAGGTTTCAACTTTATAAATTAAAATATTATAGCGGCTGTTTTCACATTTTAATTCAAAATTCTTCCTCAACTTTGAAATAATTAAAATTTACATTCAATCTTAACTTAATTAGAATGTGCTATTATCTACTCATTATCATTGTTACCAAATTATGTAAGTACATACTTAAGAATGTATATTTATTGACATTGCATTCCTATTGTCATATCAAATTACAATCATGTTGATGATGATAATAATAACAATAATAATATTAGATGAAATGAAAATCTTTATTACATATTCAGCACTTAATATGCTTTTCTTATTAAGCTCTAAGGCAGTGAATAAAATGAGAGGAAGAGATTATGAGTATAAAACTTCCTTCGCTTCATTCTACGAGATATTAAGGGAAATTTTTGTATGTGGAAGCAATATCCGCAGTAGAAAAGTTTCAGATTTAATCGATATAATCGCTTTAATAAGCGGAAGTCATTTATTGATTATAAATTTTGCTACAATCACTTAATTTTATGCTAATCGTTTACACACTCACTTATGCTTATGATTATCTATGAAGATTGACTAGCATTTATACTTACATAGCACATGTAGAACAACTTGACTTGAGGCAGGCTTTCCAACTCCATTATTTGCTGTACATATGTAAACACCACCTTTATGTCTGTCCATGTTTTCAATCGATAATGTTGGCGCGTACAGCTTTTCATCACCTATAGACAAATTATCATAATTTAATATTTTTTAAAGTTATAATAACATGGCTGGGGCAATCATACCATTAGGTAGAACATTATTCTTCCTTGTCCAGGTCACATTGGGACTTGGATTGCCTGATGCTGAGCATTCTATGCGAACAGAGCCCCCTTTTTTCACTTGTAAATGCCCACCAGAACTGATGTGATGTATTCTTGCTGGTACTGTGAATAAAAATTAAAAGAATTGTTATGAATTGGCTTAATTAGCTTTTACTTAAAAGTCATTAAAATATCTGTCATGACCTTGTCAGCGTGACTTTATTGATATTTAATCAGTGATAGTGATGTTGATGTTGCGATATTATTATCAATAAAGGATTTAATTTATGATGAAAATTAACATTATGAGACTCTGTATCTATGAAGACTTTAAAGTTCCTGAAAAGTTTTACGCATTACTTTTAAGAAGCGTAAATCAGAAGCGCAGCTAGGAAGGTGTGTGATTTTGTTTTTAAGATCAAAAACCTTACAGAGATTTTATCTTAAAAAACTAGAAACTTAAGAAAATTTTCCTTTAAATGGAGTTGAGGGGAGGAGGCATCCCCTCAATTCTCAATAAAGCACAGTAAAACGCAACTTTTTACTGGCACAGTTAATTGCGTCATTGTTGCCTATTAGCAGTGTTCCGAAAGTAATTAATCAAAAAATAATAATTATTTTATATTAAAAAATATCGACTCATTCCTCAATATGTACTACTATTAAATCATTAATGTTCATTATTTTGGCGTCCAATATCGCTAGAAGCTGCGCTTCCGCTTCCTTGTTGTTCCTATATTTCATTATTGTTGTTCTCAGCACAGTAAGAGCAGCAAAAAAAATGTTTATGAAATATTTAAAATTAATTATGATAAATTGTCATTAATTGACATTATTATTGTGGAGTGAGAATGACTGCGAGCGAAGGATGGACGAGATGGGAGAAGAAAAAAAATGAAAAGCTAAATGAATCAGCATTTTTTTGGTTTAATGAACACTTTTCAATTTATTATGTATTGAAATTGACAATGTCTTGGTTTTTTTGTTCACTTTAAAAAAAATGAGCTTATAAGAAAGCAAGGTAGAGGCATGGACCTCAAGCTTACCCTCTCATTGCTACCTTCATGGTACAAAGTGTTACATTACATATTTACCAATCCATTCATCTAGACGCTCATATATTTTCTTTATAACATTAAAGCTTAAATAATTTTATTTTAACAAGCGTCTATACAAATTATGGCATGTACCATTCATCATGTACGCATACGTCTACAAAGTAAAAATAAAATAATAATTTTGGTTGACGGAGAGCTTGTGCTTTGTGCTATATCTCCTTGAAAATTTCACAAGTGTATGAAAGAGGAGACAGAAGAGAATCATATTGTACAGAATTATAAGAAAAAGAGGAAAAAAAGGGATTTTTGCACAAAATTTATTCGAAAGAAACACATGCTATTCATATATCATAGCTGATCATCCCCTTTAAAGGAATGGGGTAAATGTTTTAAAATGAAAAATGTGTTCATAAATGTTAAAATTAAATTAGAATGATTGTTTGGAAATTGTGTGATTGATATTTATTTGAATGGATTTGGAGATTGTTGTCATTAGAGAATTAATAAAATTGTTAAAACTGATAAGGAGTCCTTTCCCGCCTCTCCTTTCTCCTCCTTAAAGATCAAAAAATTTCAATAATTATTGAATCTAAGCCTAGTCAGGTTTATTTCTTCCTATCCTTCTGCCTTCACCTCTAAAACTGTGTAACAATTCCACATTTTTAAAACATTCTCGTAAATAAGTCCCAAAGAAAGTGGGAACCACAGACTGAATAATAGTATATCTAAAAGCAACAAAATGTTCATGTGCATTATAAAAATTTACATAAAGAACAATAACTCACAATTATCATTTTCATTTCGCTCATCCTTTCAAGTTGAAAAGGAGAGCAGCACAAAAATGTGAAATGGATGAAAATATTCAAGGAGCATGAAAACATTTTTCTTGTTAAAGCAGAAATTTCTTTTTTTCTAGTGTGCAGAAAAAAAAAGTTAAATTTATGTTTCGCTGTTTCAGCTCTTGTTAGAAATGAACATTTCAGCATTGCATAACGACACGTCATGTGAAGCATAGAATGGTAATTTCATGCAATTTTAAGATCATCACAGAGACAATACTATTCATGACTTCTAAAAATGAACAATTGTTAAAAAGGAAGAGAAATTTGTCTGTTCTCATAAGCATAAAGTTTATCGCCTCGTCGTCATCATCAACATCGTACATATGTGTAAATGTAAATTATAACTCACCTAAAATTTCAACTGTATGTGTAATTTCACGCGGCTCAAGTGTGGCAATCTGACAAATGTAATCGCCAGCATCTTGCGGTACGGCATCACGTATTTCAAGAGAATATCCATTTCCTAATCTCACGCGTGGATCTGGTGTAACTTTGACCGTTCCGGCTGAAATTATGGCAATTCCTCGTTTCCAAGCAACAATAAAATTTTCTGAAAAAAAAATAAATAGAATAAAAAATGTTAAACATCGCTGACTTTATATCAATAAAGAATGTTAAAAATCCATTGAAAAAGCTCGCATATTTGTTAAAAAGATTTCTCCCATTGCTGTTCGAATACAGTACACATGTAAATATATGACTTACACATGAACATTGTGCCTTACTTATTTTGAAATAGCAGCATAAAAAAATGAAATATATAGCTTACGCAGTAAATGAATTATGAGATTCAGACTTCATAAATTTCATTTAGGCACCCAGTGCGCGTTCACTCGCATTAAAATAAGGATTAGATAAAGGGTAGTAAAAAGTGGGCTAGCGCAAAAAAACGCAAGCAGTTGATGGAGAAAGAGAGAGAAAGGAAAAAGTATGAAAAGTTAAGGGACTGCTTCTGCTGTTACTGCTGCTTGTGTGTGGATTTATTACTTTTAATCAGGCGTTCGGTAATATTAATTAATTTCGCAATGCGTTATGATAAGACGTTGAGATATGTTTGGACATAACAGAGAGAAAATAAGCGAAAAAAAAGGTCAAAAATTCTTTCTAATTTCTAATTAAGGTCAAAGAAAAGAGAAAAATTAATCTCATTAAATGAAATTTTCATCTGAATTTCGAAACTTGATGGAAAAATAACTTATAGCGTAAGATTTATTGTGCTCTCATCAAGAGCTGGTTCATAATAAAACTTCAATTTTGGGGTTACAATCTTCACAAAATTAATTTTTAAATTATATAAAAATTGTCTTGATACTTACCTACGTTGGCTACTTCACAAGGCAATCGTATCGCATCACCGGCAACAAATTTGAATGTCTCGGATCTGGATATAAAACTAGGCTCTGGCTTGTTCACGTGCGGTGTAACTAGAAATACAAAAATTAAAGAAAAATTGAATTATTGAAGGATCTTTATTTAAATTCAATCAAATTTGGTTTCAAATATTTTTTAAAATATTATGAATTAAGTTCAAAAAACAAAGTTCATTAAAATTAATTTTTTTTAAAAAATTCTCAAAACAATTTGCATCAAAAAAATCTTGAAAAACTTTTCACAGTCTCCATGAACCTCGACTAAACAGCAAGCTGTTTAAATATATTTTATTAAAAAATATTCAGTTTACTTTTTACACTAACAAGTGTCAAGAAAGTCTTGATACTTCCATCAAACTATCAATTTTCAATAAATTAGAAAAGTTTTCATTTGCTTGGCAGAAGTTGTGCATGTTAAGTAACATCTGATAGCGTTTCAATTAATCAATATTGGTATTTTTATATATTTTTAGTTGCAAAATATTGAGTCTCGAAAGTTCCTTTATTATTTTCAGCTTTGAATTTTTTTTTTCTTTTTTTATTTCTTTACGTTTTTTTTGCTTGTGAAATAATTTGTTGAAAACTTTTTGGTATGAAAAAAAAGAGAGAGAAAAGAAAAGTAAAACTTTCACATCAAAAATAGCATCATAAAATACTTTCATGACAGCAATGAATATTTATTTTGCATTCACATCAGAGATCGTAGAAATTTTTCTTGTTGTTTTGCTTGCTTTTATATCTAAGTAAGTATCTAGATGCTTTAACTTCAGTGTACACACAATTTTTCGTAAAATTTAAATTTTCAAATTTTATCATTTTGGGAAAATTTTTATAAAATTACATTTAACTCATTTTCAACTTTCCTCAAAATTACTGATTATTTTTAAAGCGTTTTTTGCATTTCTTACTCGCGCTTTGTTTCACAAATAAATAAATAAAAAAGCCCCAGCTGAAAAATTGTAAACTTTCCTATCCCCAAAAAGGAGAAAGTTTCTATTCTGAAGTAAACTTTTTTGTTCTCACGTGCGATGCTTCTACCTTACGCTTCCTCCTTCTTTAAGCTTATTTTAAAGTAAAAAAAGTAAATTCTGCAAAAATCAAGAATTATAATAATTTTGGCTGTGCAATTAATCAGGACTCGATTATTCATATGAATATTACCCGAATGGCACTACTCGGTTAATCGATCAGAAATCCGGCACCAAGCAGTCATGATTCTGGCATGGTACTGGATTTAAATTGAATCCAGCACCATGCCAGAATCATGACTGCTTGGTGCTGGATTTCTATTCAATTAACCTACTTGTTCTATTCGGGTTAAAATCTTTAATTATTCATCACAAAATTAGCATTTTAACAAGAGTCATTCAGCTTATAAAGACTCTTAAATGTATGTTAACAATAATAAACTATTATCATATCATTGTGGGAGAGAGCGGATAGCTAACGCTCTTCTCTCATTCTCTCAACGGTATTATGCATGCATGCATAATGCCATTGAGCAAATAGTCTTTAAGATACGATTAAGGAATAAAGACACAATAAAGTATAGACCGTAAAGTATATACAAAAGTATACAGTCTTATTCATTATTATAGACTTACAGGATTAGGACGTTATCCTTACAGATATATAGTCGGTACGTTACTATAATGGTGGCAGCGGTGGGATTTCCCGATGAGAGGAAAATTCAAGCGGTGTTAAATTGGCCCGTTCCGAAAACTGTAAAACAAGTCCAGAAGTTCATCGGACTTGTGATGTATTATAAGAAATTTATACCAGGTTATATGAAAATTGCAGAACCTCTATATGAATTGATGAGAAAAAACAAATCGTATAGATGGACGGAAACGCAGGAAACCGCGTTTAAGACACTTAAGGAAAAATTAACAACACCTCCAGTACTTGCAGTACCAGATCCAGATCCAAAGAATCCATTCATATTAATAACTGATGGATGTGATTCAGGATATGGAGCAGTCCTGGCACAAAAACAGCAAGGAACTGAAAAACCAATAGCGTTTTTCAGTAAGGCTGTGTCAGAAAAAGACAGAAGGTTACTTAAGAATAGGGCATACGAACATGAGTTCAGAGCCCTAGCGGCAGCATGCAAAGAATTTAGATATTTTTTGCGTGGAGGAAAAAAGTTCGTTGTGTACACAGACTCAAAAATTTTGGCCCAGTTGAACAAGAAAAATTTTCATGAAAATGAAAATTACGCAAAATGGTATCATGAACTAATCGATTACGATTTTGATATCAAGTATCGTCCGGGCAATAAGCTACAAAATGCGGATGCTCTAAGTAGAATGTTCAGAATAAGAACAACTACGGAGATAGAGCGAGCATTAAAGGAATGTCATGATGCACCATTAGGTGGTCATAGAAATTCCATTGAAACATTGAATAAACTTAAAACATTAAACGTAATATGGCCAAAAATGGCAAAAGAAATAAGAGAATATGTAGACAGATGCGAAGTATGTCAAAAAACAAAAGTAGCAAGATATACTAAAAAACCTTTGCAGATTACAGACACACAGTCCAGACCATTCGAAAAAATAGCATTGGACATTGTAGGTCCAATGAGTCCACCATCAGCAAAAGGACATAAATATATATTAACAATTAGAGATTTGTTTTCAAAACATACTAGAGCTATACCTATGTTCACACAATCAGCTGATGAGACAGCCAAAGCTATGGTAGAATACATAACCCATTATGGGGCTCCAGAAAAAATTCTTACAGACCAAGGAGCTAATTTTATGTCAGAGGTAATGAAAAACCTATGCAAGAAGTTTAATATCAAAAAGCTTAGAAGTACAGCTTATCATCCACAATCAAATGCTTCTCTAGAACGATATCACAGAGATTTGAAGACATATTTAAAAATATTCACGACGAATGTAGCGGAATGGGATGAATTATTGGGAATAGCTTGTTTAGCATTAAATACATCAAAAACTAGAAGCACTGGATTTACTCCATTCGAAATTGTATTCATGCATCCAGCTAACATCCCATCATCATTCAGAAACACAGTAAATAGACCTATTTACAATCATGATGACTATGTAAGTATAATGACGAATAACATTCAAGCAGCATACAAGGCTGTAAAGGAAAATTTGAAAAATTCAAAAGTAGAAACAAAGAAAAATTACGACAAAAAGACAAACGACGTCAAATTTAGGGTAGGAGACAAAGTTTTAACAATAAACGAAAATAAAAGAATTACAAGACAAAACGCGTTCCCTTGGAAATGGGAAGGACCTTATGAATTAATAAAAGATTTAAATAACAGTACTTACGAAATAAAAGTAGGTAGAAAAAATATAACAAAACATGGAGACCAACTAAAACTGTTTAGAGAATAATTTAATAATAAAAAGTAGATAATTTCTAACTTAGAATTAGATTGCTTATTTTACGCTAAAATTTTAAAATTTTATATTTTAGATGGCTTATACTTAGCTTATCCGCTTTCATAACAGCATTCGCATACGATATAGTTACACTGGAACCTGGAGTAATTATTTCCGAAAAGCAGAAAGTGAGCGCGATTGAGTATAACCGACAGTTCATTATTAAGATAGATATTAATGCGTTAGAGAATAGAGTGAAAGATCTGAGAAATGAATTTGTTAAAATTAATAATACGTGTGACTGTGGAGAAACATCCACTTGGAAAAGTTTTGAGATAATAACTCTCGAAAAAGTTAAAAGAATAGAAAATAAGTTCGAAAATATGCTTTATAAGATACAAAAGCGAAACAAGAGGAACATTTTTGGAAACATTCTGTCATGGCTCACAGGAGTCATGACAAAGGAAGAAAAATTAGAATTAGAAGAAAAAATTATGGCATTAAGAAATACAAATCAAGAAAATGTCGAAAGATTGTATGAAAATACAAAGATAATACACAGATCAGTAGAATTAGTAAAGAACTCTTTGCAAAATGTAGCAATAAATGGTCAAGAGATAAAAAAATTGAAAGAGTATGTGGAGGAAAAGACTAAAAGGGTAAATAAATTTATAGATATGGCTTTAAGAAATGATCTGCTACAATTATTAAAAGTTAACATTGAAAATGATATGATTGAATTAAGCGAATGTTTGGAAAATATTGAGGAAGCCATTAATGATGCGCATAATAATATTTTCACAAGCAGAATATATGATTTAAAAAATATAATTGAGAATATGAGAAACATTAACTTAGGAAGTAAGAAATGGATCACGGATCCAAATGACCCTGACTTCCAAATACTGAAATATTCTACTAAGATATATACAGTTATGGATGATAATAGTTTATACTTTATACTAAAAATTCCAATCATATATGACGAGTTAATACTCGGTGAAGTGATTGACATCCCTAATCTAGAAGGGGATGTTGCTCATTTCATCGAAACACCGTCAGATATAGTAATTTATGATAAACATAATGGCAGAAACATGGAAATTTCCAGGGCAAGATTGCATGAAAATTGCAAATTGCTTGGAGATACATATTTTTGCACTGGTCTAAATATATTTAACATTGGAAAAAACAATTGCTTGGGAAAAATCTTAGAACATAAATTTAAAGACACAAAAATCTGTAAGAATAAGATTATTAAATTAATGATTGATACGATAATATTACAGGAAATTAATGAAAAAGAGATAATGATAATAAACCCTTCAAATAAGGTAATAAAATTAATAATAAATAATGAAATATTAAGAGTTGAATTTCCAAAAATAAGTTTATTTAGGAAAAGTACAGGAGAAAATATAAAATTAATTACAGAAGAATTCGAATTAGAATTAAGAGACACCAGTGTGGAGAATATCACAAGAGTAATCGAATTTCCAAGAAATGTCTATCGTGATATTTCAGTAATAAAGTTACCGGAAAATTCGAATAACCTTGTGGAATTTTCTGAAACTGGGTTAACAAGTAAGAGCGAAATCTATCAAAATGCGATAGATATCGAAAATTTGATAGAAAAATATAAATTAATTAAGAATGAAAAAGACATAAAAACAGAATATAACATAA